CGCTGTATGTATGTCAGTGCGCTGTATGTATGTCAGTGCGCTGTATGTATGTCAGTGCGCTGTATGTATGTCAGTGCGCTGTATGTATGTATGTCAGTGCGCTGTATGTATGTATGTCCGTGTGCATTTCCTCCCTGTATTCAGGTTTCCTCCCTCAATCCAAAGCCATGTACTGATTTACAGACTGATATATACATTACTGTGCAAAAGTCTTGGGCAGTCAATGACAATGATCTTCATGTTGGTGTAACTGTGATATTATGTCTGTTGGTGTGTCAGCCAATTCAAACCCTCTCATAAATTAACCGCAGTATTTGCAGTAACTGTGCAATATACCCATGTATTTTTTTGACTCAACGTGTTTGAACAGACCTTATTTGGCCAGTCAATAACTCATCGATTTATTTAACTAATTAAGTTAATTAATTAAGTGAGCGGATGGTGAAATGTAACAAATCCATGGAATGGCTGGGGTACCCCTGAGGAGAGGTTTGGGAACTGAAGCGGTGTTGATCTAGCCATCAAGCAAGATACAGTGTTGCCAAAAAGTATTTGTACGCTGAAAAAAATAGTAAAAAATTCAGGATATTGAAGAACAAACTTTAAAAACTGTCTATGTTTCAATTATGTGTGTTATGTAAAAAAAAAAACACAAGAATAACTTTTATTCAAAACATTCTGGAATTGTTTTGAAATGGTGTAATTTATTACCTTCAAACAATTATTTGTACACATGGCCATTCATAGAGTCCACTTGTATGGTTAGTTGAATTTCCCAGCATGGCTAAAACTGCTGAAATACCCAATGCATTGAGGAAAAAAGTCATAAAACTTCACAATTGATATCCTCAATTTCCATTTTTTCCACAGTGTGCAAATCATTTTTTGGCTACACTGTATCAGTAACTTTTTGGAGAACAGCAGAAATTCTTATTACTTTTTATTGTGTTACTCTTATTTTGCCCATGTTCTGATGTTAAATTGTGTTTTTTTCCTCTCTGAGCAAATACACACTAACTACCCTGATAAGTTCATTTAAGCTTTTCCTTTGACTGCCTGAGACTTTCGCAAAGTGCAGCATGTGCATGAACACTCTGACAGACTGTCTGAGGTGTGTCCGGTTCCAGGCACTTACTACCAGCCCACTGCTCCTCCTGCGACACATAGCTGGTCATCTTCTACATACTGGTTCAAAAGAACAGAACGTGAACTCAGCAGAGTTGATTCTTATTTTGGATAATAAGTGTGAAGCCAGTCCTCATCTAGACTGAAGCAAAGTTTTGCGCAACAAAATAACCAAAGATGAACCAGTTTACCAAGTGCAAGGACAACTGGTTTCCAGTGCTGAACTGGCTAATATGGAGAGTGAATGCAAAAGCTAGATAACAGCATAGACCTCTACCCAGGAGTAATTCTTGAGATTATAAGGGGCTTGTGGTCATGGTACGTCTAGGCATTTCCAAGGGCCCTTTATTCCTTGACAGATTCGTACATGCTGATCAGCTGTGGCATAGTGACCCGTCCCCAGTTAGGCTGCTGCTTTCGGGAAGTGATGAAGCTTCTGTTTTTAGCACATGTTTCCTCTGTTTGGCCCTAACTTTTCACACTCTTGGAGAAAGTGAGTCTCCGTTTCCACTTCCTGTCTCACAGACCACAAAGCCTGTTCTGGCTGGGCAGCCAGGTGTCTGGGGGTGATCCCTTCTCTCTCTCTTTCTCTCTCTCTCGCTTTCGCTCACTCTTCTTTTGTACTGATGTGTTGTTTCTGACTTGGCTGACTACTTTGGGTTTTACATATGCTACCCCTTCATTAAACCAGATATTGATTAAATCCGTGTGCACAAAACACCTTTAAATCTTCTCCTTAATGCTTCCTTAAAATATTCATTTAAGTATTTGTTTTCCCCCTTATCTTGCTCTTATACTCAAGGAATCCATTAAAGTTCTCTTAACGGTTGCACAAATTTAACACCTTAACAACGAAAGAAAAAAACTTAAGGTACCTCCGACTGTACCTTAACCATAACACGTACGGCTAAATGAAATGGGAAAAAAATGTTCTCTGACTGGGACAACCCAGTGGATATGATTAATAATGACCAATTGCTTAGCATTATAAATTTGATCGGTAGTAGAATTTTGGTTTTATTTATACAGCCCGCGACATGTATATAATTCATTATTAAATCTGGCCAGCAGATCGATCTTTTTTTCCCCACAGATTAAAAACGATATAACCTTATCCCGCCAATAAACGCTGGAAAGTTTCGCACTGGTGCCAGCGATATTAGACAAAATTAAGAGTATATTGGTTAACGTTCTAATTTTCCGATAGAGAAACAAGGAGACGCAAGACAAAAAACAATGTATTCAATAAATGCATTTAATATAACTAATATACAAAAATAATTCCACCTGCTCAATGTTTGTTCCGCTATTTCTGTCTCTCTTCCCGCATTTCCGCGTATCTTCCAAGTCTGCACCGGTGCTCGTCGTTTATCGCCATATGCCCCACTGAGTAGTAGTTCTTCAAGTGAAAAGTATCTACTCTTAGTGAACAATACACCTGGAGGAAGAGTCTACATTTTTTTAATCGAATAAGAATGCAGTGGTGACGAAATCCGTCTTGTATTTTTATTTATATTAGTCAGACGAATAATATGTTTAATTTCATCATGGTTATTGCCACGTGTTTTGGTCACGTTTTTGATTCAGTTACTGCCACGCAAAAACCGTTCGTCAGGCCATATTTTCGTCAATGAAATTAACACTGGAGGCGATAACGGGTATCACGAACAGGCATGAGTGCATGGAAACAAATGGTCTCCATGGAAACTGTATACAATTTTACTGCTGTAAAATGTCTTTCAATGCTGTAAATCCCTTAAGGTTTTTCCTTAAGTAAGGAAACCTTTTAAGGGATTCTGTGTAACATCCTTAAATATTTCCCTTGGGTTAAGGAGAAATCATACATTAAGTGTCATACTTAAGGGGAAAACTTAAGGTGTTTTGTGAAACCGGCCCCTTACTCTCCACAGTCGAACCTTGCGACATGCCAATTAACGGGCCTGGGTTGCCAAGAAAAAATGTCAGATTTAAGGTAGTCTGGGGTAAAAGCAAGTGAACGAAGATAAATTCCATTTAAACTGGAGTTTCATAAAGCCAACAAGTTATCTCGCTTCGTGATGCAGCCCCCAGGTCTGTTACCACGGTGTTACTACTGGTTTGTATGCCGTTCCCCTTTATTTCCGCAAACACAAAGTGTGCTGCAGAGCAGAGACTTTTTGCTCCCACCAGCGACGTTGTACGTTCTAATCAGCAGAAACATCTGCTAGCCCGCGTCTTCGTCGCACCGTGGTGATTTTGCCGTATGTGAATTGGCGCCACTCGATGGAACTTGTCTGGAAATGTGTGCACACGGCGTGGACACTGTCACTCCCATGCCGGGTCACTGTGCTCAAAATAAGTTTCCCTCCAGCTAAGAAGTCACCCACTGCTTACGAATGGTATGAAGCATTACGCATAAATGTTAATGATTCATTCTGATGTATTCAATCCGCAGTGGGATGTGTTGTTATTGTATTAAACAGTGGGAAGTGTGTTTTTGTAGGTCTGTGTGTTTGTCTGTTAGAGAACTAAAAGAGAGAGTGTTGGTACATTTAAAACCCATTCAAAACTATTGTCTTGATGATGGTGATGATAAAGGAAAATTCATAAAATCTTAGCTTCCTTTCTGGGAAGATGTGCATTATGGGAACATACGGCTATGATATTGAGTCCCTGACAATAGGATGGCAGTTCATTACAGTCGTGGGAACGTGGATATGGTCTTTGCTTCATAGCTCTCTGCTCTGAATTACCCGCTTTATCATTTAGCTCTTTATCAGTTATGGGCTCCATTATGGTGTAAATGAAACATTCGCTGAAGGAAGATGGCCGCCCTCCCCGGCAGCAGAGCGGCTCAAGCTAACGACCGCTGACGGATGGGGAACACTAACAACCGTACTCCAGTTTCAACCTCCGCAATTAAGACCTCGTTCTTCTTTCCCGACATCCATATTCAGCCCCTGGTGGGCTGGAGGTTCGTCTCGGATAAGCTGCCCTTCGTAAGCAGCCTCGCTCCGTTATCACTTCTGAACGAGCCCAGCTGGGCTCCGGGGCCAGTGTGACGTTCACATCGCACAACCCTTGTAGACCGAGCCCTTGTCCCGACCATGTGACTCCATACATTTTGCTTAATTTGCATTGTAATGGTCATGTAATGTGTACTATTGCCCAGAATGGGCACAAAGTCACCCAGCATAGACCCCCGTTGTGAGCTACTTGAGGTGAACAGTAAAAATACTGTAGACAGGCGTCCAGAATGAAAAGGTGATATGAATGTTAATACAAAAAAAATACATATGGTACAACACTCAATAGACGAGAAGCCATAGTACTACAGTAGTGCATAGTAATCCAAATGTAAAGTCAATTGTGATGAATTAGAATCAAAAATCAGTATCAGATCTTTATTTGTCTAAATATATTAAACGGATGGGTGGACGGGCCCTGGTATAGCATGCTTTTTACATTAGGCTGTCTACTGACAATCTGAAGCAGTATGAGGAGATGTTTAAGTGTGTCCTCTGGAGCAGGGGGTGGTGATGGAAGTGAAGAATGGTGGGAGGGGTCCAGGATGATTGGCTGATTGTGGGTCCAATGACAGCGTAAACGGTGTAGGAGCGGCAGCCAATTATAGCAGTACACTTGCTGTAGAATAACACAAAGAGGAGAACTACATTTTCAAACAAAACCAATCTCCATCCACATAGGTTTAGGAAAGTATTTCCATCCACACTGAAACGAGCGAAGACGTGTATGACATCGCTGCTTGGGGAATGCACACACCGACACAGTGACAGGTAAATTACCCACTAGAAATGTGTGAATGCCTCCAGGCTTACTGGGGGGCACACTGTGCCCCAGGCCCGGGGGCTGCATTCCTGCATGGTCCTAGGGGTGTCGTCCTCACGCGCAGCATCACAGATCTGCAGCCGGCTGTTCGTATTTCTCCCCGATGACGTAACCCCATTCTACTCAAAGTTGCAGTGGCATCGCCTTTCCCGCCGCTTGGAATACCGACGGAGATTAGCAGGATAGGAAAAGACTTGAGTATCCAGTTAAGGATACACAGGACCTGAATTAATTGATTTGGAGCGCCGGGTCTGTTCCCATTGCTTCCAGCGCTGCAGACCTGCCACAGTAGTATAGTCTTCTCAGAGATGCCTTGTTTCCTCTTTAGTCTCTGATTTTACTCCCCTGTCACGTCAAATAAAGAAATCCCCCCCCCACTACCACCACCACACACACACCCCCACACCGTGCCAGGTTTTACACTTGGAGGTGTGAATGTTGTGTCTTTACACTAGTGTCCCAGAGCTGTGACTGAGTGGGATCAGGTAGAGATTACACTGCTTGGGGGGGGGGTTGTAGGTGGGGCCAGGGAGCTTCTGTGGGCAGGGCCTGCGAGGGGCTGTGGGTGGGGCCAGGGAGGGGCCAGCTCGCTCAGCTGCTCTCAGCACAAGGCTCCGTTCCAGACACCAGCACTGTTCCTCGCAGCGCTCACCTGGCAGAGCGTGTTTCACCTCGCATTAAGCTCCCGCGCAGCGCTGGCCTCCAGGCGCCCCCTGGGGGCGTGGATATGCACACGCACCGGCTGGGCTCATGCGGGCTGAGCCACTGAGCAGCGTTTGGCTGGACTGGCTGTTCCAGGTGGGGGAGAGGAGCAAGGGCCCCATCAGACCTTTCAAATAGAAAGAGGAAGTGGGGGGGGGGGGGGGGATGTCAGGTCATTGTGATCAATCTGGAGCCCATGTTCACCTGCTCTGTTGTCACCCCCCTTTCCAGAAGAACGTGCTGCAGGGCCAGCATGAGAGGGACAATGTGTGGACCAAGGAGGGATTCTACGCAGTGGTCATCTTCCTTACCATCTTCGTCATCGTCGTCACCTGTTTGATGGTGAGTCCACCTCCCCTACCCCCCACCTACCCTTACTATCTGTGATCGATTGACATGCGTCAAGTGGAGATCTTCCCAGGCAGATCGCATCTGTTTTGCTGGCGACTAGAGCTCTTCCGCGCGTTTATATTGCTGGATGGATACGTTTATAGAGGACTGGGGGCAGGAGTGGGGGTGTGAGTCGGGGTGTGTTGCTTTGACTCCTCTTCTTCCCCCTCCTCCTCCTCCTCCTCCTCCTCCCGCGTACAGACAGCAGCTGTAAATACCCTCTCTCTCCTTGCACTCCTGCTGCTCCTGTGATTTAAATTAATTACACCTTGGGTATGCTTGGCCAGCTGGACCCGCGTGGCGTCCTGCGTTTAAACGCGGCGCTGGGCGGCTCCGCGCCGCCGCATGCCAGGGAACCCGCTGCTCCCGGTTCTCGATGGCTTCACTCAGAGCTGGCTGCGGGCCAATCGCTAACGGCCTCGCTTATGGAAAGGAAATGCTGGGAAACATCCCCGCTTTAAGTCAAACTGCTCTTCAAGGGTAGCAGACATTGCTGGTGGGCATATATAGATATATAGATATAGATATATAGATATATCTATTTTTCACTGCAGCATTTTATAAAGATTTTCATACTCCTTATACGGAATCATAATATATACATCCTATCTGTTGTTTAAACTGTTTCATACTTTCAATGAATGGAATATATCATAATGATGTGTCAGCATATATGAAAATATATGATGTATGAAAATTATAATCTATTTTCTGATGTTATGATGGCTATGATGAGATGTAACAGGATTAGCATGGACTGCGTGCGCTGATTTAAAAGGGTTTCTGCAAGCAGAGATCAAGCTCCCTGATTGGTCAGGAAAGAATAGTATGCGCATGTTATTTCAGGTCCGTGATACGATTGGCTGCAGAGGGCGTCATCAGCAACTTAATCCGAAAACAAACCACTGAAAACGCCAGAGGCTGTTATGTCATGAAGTATTATTCTAAATTAAAGAGTCTAAATGTCTTGTGGAGATGATTAATAGAAAGCTGGCACACAGAAGCTTGAAGATCATCAACAAAAAACACCAGCATTGGCTGTCCTTTGAAGAAACTGACTGTTTACCCAGCTTGGCTATTGGTTAAGTAAGGGGTCTCCAACTCCGGTCCTGGAGATCTACTATCCAGTAGGTTTTCTATCCTACCTGGTTTCTAATGAGCCAGGTGTGGCTCATCTATTCTTTCCTGTAGCTCTCCAGGACCGGAGTTGGAGACCCCTGAGTTAAGTCATATCCAAACGTTTTGGGTTTCCATGGAGCAAGGGTGGTCCTTTGCTCTGTGTGTGTGTGCAGTTTGCATATTCTCCCTCCTGGGTTTTCTGGGTACTCCTCTTTCCTCCTATAGTTTGAAGACATGCGTTCAGGCTAATTGGCATCTGTCCATGGAATATGATTTCTTATGTGCCCTGCAATGGACTGACCTTCTGCTCAGGGTGAACCCCAGCCTTATGCTGTTTAGGATAGGCTTCAGACTCACCCACAACCCTGACCAGGATGAGCAGTGAGAAGATGCGTGGTTGGGTTTCTATAGACCTCATCATGTGCTGCTCCTGTGGTGCTTGTGTCCCTGCAGGTCTTGTACCGGCTCAAGGAGAAGGTTGAGCTCTCAGACCGGCAGTTCAAGGAACCGCCTGGGCAGGAGCTGCACCTGACCCCAATTCAAGTGCACGCACCGCAGCCACAGGCCAAGCCGGCCCCCAGCATGGTCCGGGCCGAACCGGCCACGAAGCCTGCCAGCGCCGCCCCCCCTGAGCTCCCGCGAACCCCCTGCCCGGCCACCTCCGAGCCCAGACCCATACCATCCCCCAGCCCCTCCCCCTTCAGGATGAAGCCCAGCGCAGGCCTTCAAGAGCGGTAAGGGTCTTGGATCGGCCCTTGTTCTCTCAGGGGCCCCTTGGCCCCAAATAAAGGAAAAAAGTGCAATTTGAGCAGAATGTCTAGTCCAAAGTATTCAGCCATGCTTAGACAACAATGGCAGCCATTTTGGGGTTTGGCCAAAGAGACAGGGCCAGATGTTCACCCAGCATGTTGGCTTGGTCTCATGTGACGTCCCAGGGGAACAGAAGTTAGTCCATGGTGAGACTTTTGGAATTACACCTGATCGCTATATTTACACAGTGTTTCTAACAAGCACATTTAAATAATCATCTAAATCCTTTGACTGAACGCCAAGTCATGATTAAACTTGGAAAAAGGCCGTCAGCTGTTGTGAAACAAAGGAGTCGCTCATTGATTATTGTCTAACTGTTGTGTCCCTGGCTGTAAAAATAAACCGTGAAATTCCGGAACGCTTCGGAGAGAGGTCTCTCTTCCTCTGTGAGTATGCAGTGTGAGAGCTGTCACACCTGGCTGATGATTCATTCCTAGCGTCGCCACTTCCTCCAACGCTCCAAGGTGATGGCCCATTAGTACCTGTGGCCCGGCTCAACCGGCAGCAGCTGAGCCCAGGATGTTCTATTCAAGCATGTTTGCTGCTCTCCATATAGCATGGAGCAAAATTCAGGTTCAGTGATGAGGTAAGAATTACAGGAGCTAATCTAGCAGAATGACTGTGACCAGGCGACTCCATTAACGTTTTAGGGAACAGCTGAGGAGCCAAAATCTGATTGGTTAGATCACAGTCACTGGATTCACCAGAAATCTGTTCATATTGCTAGGTTTCACCTCTGTCCTCTACTAACACAAAGACTGACAGACGTGGCATTCAAGAGAATCCTGCTTCCTGTTGCTTGCTCCTTTAAATCTATACTGCTAGCTTGGTGACTACTAGTGACTATCATGTATAGCAAAGTGACAAGCGTAACTATCTGGTTACTACAGAAATAAAAGCCGTACGTTAAATTACACCATCGCTGTGTTTCAGGCCGTCTGCTAAGGTACGAGACCGCCATCTGGTGGTACTGTTATCAATCAGTCTTTGACGCACCTCCTTGATCTGCAAAAAAACTTCTTGTTTAAGCAAGCTAGTTATTTTAGCTCAGTGAATATTTTTCCATAAATTATAAATAAGTATTTAATAAGTATTTTTCAAAAAAGTTAGAGTTAAATATCTTACCCAAGGGGACAGCAATAGAACCAATACAAATCCAGGCCTTTATGTGGCATGTTTGTTAAATGTTACAAACCAGTTGAAAAGTAAAACCTTAAAAATGGATAGGGAGATACCCACCTTTGCACTGATTCATTAGTAAATTAATTTATAAATTAATAAATCAGTTTAATAAAATCAAAGTGACGAATGGGGCATTGAAATTTCAGTAAATATGATTCTGAGGGGTAAGAATAGATTCTTCAGTATTTATTTTGGATTGCATGCAATGGTTGTTTATCACTCCTGTCATTGAAGCAAATTGGTCAGCAACAGGCTTTGGTTACTGGGAAAACATCACCTCTGACCTCTGTCTCGTATGACATCAAAAGACATACATATTAGTGTTAATGTATCATAGCTTGTGCTTAAAAGACACTATTACTATGGCTACTGTGTGCAGCTCTGCTTGATGATTTGATGTAGTCTCACCAGAGTCGGTGCTGTCCTGGGGTCCAGAGGAAGCAGCAGTGGTCAGCAACGTACGGTTTCCACGGTGATAGAAAGCCCAAGAGGATGGGATGTTGATTGTGCTCCTCCCTTCTCAGGCTCTTCCTCTCTGGCCCTGCATGAAAAAGAGGTCAGACAATACAATGATGGTGTCTCTGCTGCCCTACAGCTGCTCTGTAGCCCTGTTGTCCTTTGAAGCCATTATTCTTAGAGGAAAGTGAGTTTGAAGCTCAGGACAAGTCAAGACCTGTTACTTCCTGTCCAAAATGTTATGGTAACATTTTAGGGGGCAAAAGCCATTATCACAATGCAGCTCTATGCAAGCTCACTTAATGATCCATTTCTAAAATGTTTCAATTATTGAGTGACCAGTTTTGACAAAACCATCAAATCATGAACACTATTTTGGTCTGAATCTCATGACTCAATTCTGAAGGCCTGGTGCGTCTAGCTTTCCAAACAGCAACACAGTATAGTCATAATTACCAAAACCTGAGAAAGGTATAATAATGGTCTTTTAAATTTCTTATTCAACACTACATCCCACCCAGGGTATCCCACTGTCTCCAGACCCAGGTTTCTGATATAGGCTTCAGGCAGTTTGTGGTTCAATGCTGGATAAGTGTTTATGGATGGATTGAAGCACCCAATTTGTTCTGTAGTTAGTTTCTGTGGTTAGGGTACAATCCCATGAAGTGAACCAGTGTAGAGTGGTTAAGTTGTAGTTTAACAAGGTTAGTAGCACTTGGCAGGGATCAGTGAATGAGTTTAAATGACAGACCATGCAGTACGGGTCAAAAGACGACACAGAAGACATCTGGGTTTTTACTCAGATTCACTTTCACCCAACACCTTGGACTGTTTGTTTTGCCAGAATGACCCCGGTTGGGTAATCGGAGCAGGTGTGCAATGGTGTACGTGAGGATTGAGGAGTACGCTCTCAAACTCCTCCCCCTCAACCCACCCATGACCCCCACTAGGTGTAAGAACATGTGGTTCACTTCGAGTGTCTGCTACTGTAAAATTGCAGCATAAATCTAACAATGATCTGTTGTTTATAAGCGGGGGGGTGGGTGGAAGGAAGAGGCCTATCATGGATGTGATTACATATAAAAAATATAATAAGGGAATGGAGGTGGAGGAAACTGTAATTCACAGTTGTTTCTGGCCCAGGAAGCCAAGGCTAATGATAAGGTAATGAGAGCAGGTTGAACTTACATAAATACAGTTGAGAACATTTGCGTAAGTGGCCTTTGCTGTGCACGATTTTAGAAGATGAAGAACAGACTGTGGACGCAGTGCAACATGTTTATCTTTTTTATTTGATATACTTGGGTCTCCACCAAGGAACACTTCTATAGTGTTTAAAGAACACTGAAAGACATTAAAATGTTTAGTCTCACAGTGGCTAAACAGAAATAGGATCACAGGAATTGAGAGCGTCTCAGCAAAGATTTTGAGCTAGCTGGGCTCACATGTTCAGTGTTCTTTATTTTTCAACTAATACAGTGATACCTCAGAACTCGAATTTAATCCGTTCAGAACTCCAGATCGAATCTTAAAAAGTTCGAGTTGTGACCGAATTTTCCTCATAAGAAATAATGGAAAACCAATTAATTGGTTCCCGGCTCCAAAAAATTACACCTAAATATGTTTTTTTTAGCATTCAAACACAAAATGAACCGGATAAAACAAGAAGAGCATATACTGTACTAAACTGTACTAAACACATCTGAGCACATTTATCAAAATAGTAATTTGTAAAATAAGAAAATAAATGTATCCAAACAATGTGTAAAGTTAAAAAAAACAATGTGTCCTGCCTTGATCGTCCGCTCCTTCCGTGTGCCACGCCCCCTCGTTAACCCCATGTGGAATCCCTGTGTGATCAGCTCTTTCTGGTTGTTGTCATTAGTCCTCTGTATTTCGTCCGCGTTTCAGTTCATTTCCCCAGTCCGATCATTGTATTGCCCGTCTGCGTTTTGCCTGCCTTACCTGTAATTAAACCCCGTATTCCCCGATCCCCTGACGTCTGCGCCTTTGTCTCTGTTCCTTCCCCGCTCGGCACAACAATATTATTATAATTAAACCTATTAATGGTTTATCATTAATATTAAAATAATGAATAAGAAATCTTTATTTTTAAATGTATTTTATTATATAATAATAATTACTGTTACTGTCTATCATTGTCTAAATGTATTTTTACTGTCTAAATATATGTATTCAGTTAGTGTAAACATGCACGATGCTAACACAGCGAATGCGAGGCTGAGACTGAAGCTTTACCCTTTGTTTCCGCTGAGAGACGTGCCGCGTGACTCATTTCCTCGCGTGTACAAGTTATCTTAGGTCGGCGTTCACGGTTTGACTTCTGAGATTCAGATTGAGCTCTAGGTAATTTTTTTCGAACTGGTTGGTTCAACTTTTAAGAAATTCGAGTTCTAATGAGTTTGAGAACTGAGGTACCACTGTGTTTTAACAATTATTGCAAGCTTGAAGACTATGAAGTGCAGTTACAGTAAAGCTTGTGTATTGTACATTTATATATTGTGGTGTATTATGAATACTAGCTTATGTGCAGACACCAATCTGCACTGTAATCTCCCATAAGCGATTCCAGAAAGAGGGACTTTAAAGGACATTAGTTGTTGCGTTAATTTTAGCATTGACTGACGGATCTGCCTTTGCTGGGTAGGGCCCTGTCACCCTGTCACCCTGTCACCCTGTCACACTGTCACCCTGTCACCCTGTCACACTGTAGTTTTACCCATCATACCGTTGTCCTTAACTTGTTGTGTTTGCAGCTTCCTAACCTCATCCTAAATACACAACCCTGTAAATATCCTGTATCACCATTTATTGACTCAAAAAAAGAATGAATTGTCTGCTCTCACTGTTTACAGTTCTGACCAGGCGGTAAATCTGTCGGCTGTTTTGTGAACGCTAGTCTGTAAATCTGTCCGTAATGCAGCGCTCATGTTCCCATCTGTGCCGTTTCCTCTCCCGGACTCCGAGACGAAACCTCGATTCACCTTCCCATCCACTCTGCTTCTCGCTAGTCCCCAGAGCATAACGGCTTGTCACGTACGGCGGAAGAGCCCGAGCTCAGCAGACTGAAGGCCCCGGTGTGCGTGTTCAGAGGCTGATACCGGACAGCGTTGATACCTGTACTGCTTCACTCAGGTGTTGGTACGGGGGGTTCAGCTCTCAGTTTCCTTGAGTGGCTATCAGTATGACTACATTCTGTGAAGCGTTTAATGACCACAGCTCAGTTACATGAGTCTCAGTTCCTGTTCTAGCATCGTATCACTTTCAACCAAGGCGGAGCTGAGGTTCTCGCTCCTGCTCCTAACATAGGAGTGTAACCTGCTTGCCAGCCCCTGTTCTAACACCATCCCCTCAGGCCTCCGACTGGGACATGAGACCCGCCCCCACACCCCGGTGGGTCCCCACATTGATGGCTTGTCGCTTTATCGCAGCTCGTGCTAAGCCAGCCCGGCCTGATTAGGAGGGGAGGGCGGGACGAGACCGGGTTCCTTCCTGTTCAGGATGCCGGGCACTTCCTGTCAGGCCAAGAGCACTGATTGCTGAAGGGGTCTAGCTCAGGGGTGGCTGACAGGGACACATCCTCTTCATCCTCCTCATCATTCTCTTCTGCCTGCCATCCGCCCTGCCTAGAATGGAGGTACATAAAGCACCTGCTTTTTGATGAAATTAATACAAGAATTTTTTTTGTATTTTTTTCTTTTGAGGCTTTGTAATAAAATACATTTCAAGTCAGGATTCACACTCATAGCATTAAAGATTCAAACCATTTATTCAATCAATAATTAATATAAATTAATCATAGTTTTAAAGTCTAATTTAATCATGCATGATTTAATCAAATTAAATTATTACATTTTAAAAGAATGTAATGAACTAATTTTGTGAGCTTTACATTTTGCCTGAAGACTTTACAAGTTCTTTTAAGATAATTAATGAAAACATGACTTTTTAAATGAAATAAAATGAAATTTCATTAAAAAGTCATATTTTCATTATTTTTCTTAATACACTTTCTTCTGTCTTCTGGTAAAATTTAAAGCTGACAGTTTTTTTTCCTCATTTTTTAAGATGATCAATGAAAAAACATGATTTTTTTCATGATGGATGGAAGTCGAGAGGGAGGGGGGGTCCTCCCGGGGGGGGGGGGGTCTCCCATCTCCAGGCCGCCATTGCTCTCTTTCACCTGACTAATGCCACGCTCCAAAAACGCACAGCGAGCTTTGTGAGCAGCCCCAAGGAAAGCAATGTGGGGGAGAGGTGCAGGGTCAAAGGTCGACTGCTTGGGATGACAGACAAACCCAGGCTCCAAACAGGGGCGTGGACTCACCCAGGATCTGTGGCCGACTATGGGCCGGCGTGTCTTAGGCCGGCCTGAGACATCATGTCGACTCAATGAGTGACTCCGTTTAAAATTTGTGTTTAAGGGCGTTTCCCTTTTATGCCCAGAATAGGAACAGATTATGATCTGAGCTTGTTGAAAAGTGTTGATTATGTTTACTGCTGTGATCATTTCAGTTTAGGTATGTTCCATTAACATAAAGCAATTAAACCAAGAGCTATAAAACAAGACACCCAGCTCTGCAGCACCCAAAAGTGATTTTTACACTAATTATCAGTTGTAAAGATGTTAAGCAAGATGCAACACAAGGGATACGTGGGGAATTATGATTTCATGTGGGTTGGTACACTGAGATGGCAAAGTGTCAGAGTGTGTGTGTGTGTGTGTGTGTGGGGGGGGGGGGGGGGGGGGGGGGGGGTTCATGGTCATGTATATATTATTATATTATGACGAAAAAATGAAAAGTAGAAAAAGGTAAAAAGCTATACAGTACTGTGCAAGGCTCTTAGGCAGAGACAGAACCTGATATTTAAATGAACTTAATGTTGGTGTTAAACTATGATATTGTGTCTGTCAAGGTGTGTTATCTTAGCCATTTAAAAACCTATCTGAAAGTCACCCCAGTATTTGGAACAACCATTCAATACACCCATGTTTTTTTTAACTTGACCACTATCCCACCTTGTTTGGCTAATCAATATCTCATTGGGCTATTTAACTAATAATTTATTATTATTAATTTAATTAATAAATTAATTGAGCTGGTGGAAAAATTTAACAAACGTATAGACTGGCTGAGGTGCCCCTAAGGAGAGGTTTGGGAACCAAAGCGGAGTTTATAGTCATTAACTTTTTGGTGAACAGATAAAATTCTTGTACCGTATTTTCCGCACTATAACGCGCACTGCATTATAAGGCGCACCGTCAATCAGTGGTCTATTTTCAAACTTTTTCCACATACAAGGCGCACCGGACTGGCGCTTTAAGCAATCAGATAAGCCAGTCAACGAAAATTTATTTTACATCACGTGTTCACAATGACTGTCAACATTGTTCAAACGTTTATGAGCGTCTTCATTACTTTTTAACACGTAAAAAAACAAGTGTCTTATACCGCTAACTCAAAAGTCAGCCTATTAACAATAACTCAAAATTGAACACTTATAATACGGTCCTATACCGCTAAATCAAAAGTCAGCGTATTCATAATAACTCTTGAAATTGTTAATTTATAACACGTGAAGCACTACACAATACACTCACTTTTCAATACTAAAACATTCAAATCGCTTCGAGTTCAGTATGCACAACAGAAATTAATCCACGTTTAAAGCGCACTGGATTATAAGGCGCACTGTTATTTTTTAAGAAAATCAAAGGCTTTTTAGTGCGCCTTATAGTGCGGAAAATACGGTACATTTTTAATTGCGTTGCATAGGTTATAATGTTAAATTGTGTTTTCTTTCTGAGCAAATATACAAATGCTATCAAGTTGAATAGCCTTAAACATTTTCCTTCCCTGCCTGAGACTCTTGCACAGTACAGTAGATACCTAATCTGTGTGTATGTGGGTTTGCATAGATCACATTTGAGGACCAAATTGTCCCCAAAGTGTAGTAAAACCTGAAATTTCCCTACTTTTGAGGTCCCCATTTCGATAACCTCAGTTTTATTAAAATCTGTGAATGCAATCAAAAAAGTAAAAATGCCAAAAGTCTTGTATTTGGGTTGGTTACTTATGGTTAAGGTTAGAGATGGGTAGAGGTTAAGGGTGTCGTGATTGGGATTATAGTTTTTCCCAAAAATGAATGGACGGTCCCCATTTAGATAGAAAGACCAACTTGTGTGCGTGCGTGTGTGTGTGCGTGTGTGTGTGCGTGTGCGTGTGAGTGTGCATGTGCGTGTGCATGCCTGCCTGCATGCATGTCCACATTTTTGTAATTATTACATTGTGGGGATCAGATGTCCCCACAATGTGATAAAGCCTGTAACTTTTTAACTTGTGTTATTTCATGGCTGCTGTTTTGATCCCCACAAAGGGAAGCTCAGTTTTGTGATGGAGGGTTGGGTTCTCAGTCATACCGCTGTCCTGCAGACGAGGGTCCAATGTGTCCCTGGTGCTGGACATGAGCGTCCTGGGGTCCGTGGAGCCGCTGAGCAGCACGGGGGCGACGCCCCGTGAGCGCGTGGCCCAGGAGTACCTGCAGGCGGCCAGCCGCACCCTCTCCCGGCAGCAGCTCCGCGGTGCCGTGCTCAACACGCAGAACCTGCACGCCGAGTTCGTGGTGAGGAAGCACGGCGTCCCCGTTGTGCGAAGCCTTGTATTCAGACCCAGCCCACGGCCGGGTGGCCGTCTTTGTTTACCAAATTGAGCCGCTTTGCTGTCTTACTGTATGTTAATGTTCGAGATGCTTCATAAATCAGTACTTTTTCCCCAGAATTGATTCACAATGTGTTTATTCTCTCGTTTTTCCACTAGTGAGATTGTGAATGATTTTGTTTCTCTTCCTGCATCTGTTACTCAGCATGTAGCGTCATCTTGGCTTGAGTCACATCTGTATTTTGCAGGAAATCCCGATGAATTTCGTGGATCCCAAAGAAGTGGACATTCCCACGCATGGCACGAAGAACCGATACCGAACCATTTTGCCAAGTAGGATTTTTATTTATTTATTTATTTATGTGCAATTTACAACTAACTTGTTGACAGTAGCTCGTTTTGGATTTTTATAATGTTATAATGTAAGAGTGACACATGCAGTGTATTTCGCTGATTCTCGATTATGCTTGCTATTTGTTTTGATTGCTTGCCCACTTTGGGTCTGTATTTGTAAAACCTTTATGCATGTGTTTGGGCCATGTGTTTGGTGATGGTAGAAGCCACACAAATGACGGAAGATCTCGAAATACTTTGTTGTCAATCAGGAGATTGATGTCATGGTATGTCGGGTCACACCCAGCAGTGTTGTTTCTCATTGCCCGGCCCGTCTGTTGCTGTCTCTGAGTGATCACCTGACACGCAGTAGCCCTCCTCTAGCATTGGTCCAAAGGACATTTTGTACCTTATGGGTCAGAGGATCAGACCCTTCCTTCCTCTCCAGGGTCACCTAGGCCTGATTGGTGAGGGAAGTCAGTAATTGCCAAAAATCAAGACTCTTCCGTTCTGCAGTACTAGTGTCCATCCCGCCCCCCTGCTTAGCCACAGAGGAAGGGTCTGATTGTCCCCTCCCCCTTCCCTCCAGGGTCAGAGCAGCAGAGTTAACGTTCAGACGTGAAGCACACTTTCTGCAGGTTCAGCAGGGCTTCCAAGAACAATGCACTGGGGACACCCTGTTCCCGCCTTGGGCCCAGTCTGGCCACGTCTCGGGCCGCAGCGGTTTGCCCTCATTCACCTTCCCTTTCGACCGCGTTTCCTTCACTGCGGTTATCGGTGTTTCTCGGGTGCTGGGAACTTTTTTCAGGCGGGAAAAGCCATCATCACCAACAAGGCCAACCAGAAGCTTTGTGGAGCATTTCAGAGGATAGCTTTGCATCTAAGGCATGAAGAACTGAGGCTAGAATTTTTTCCTCTATATCACATCTTGTTGAAAATGAAAACATTTAAAACCCCAACATTTAAAGCTTAAAAATGAAGGGAAAATGCTCTTGTTCACTCATTATCACTTTTTTAATGTCCTTTTTGGGATCAGTAAAGCTTGTCTGTCTGTCTGTATGTGTCTGCCTGTCTGTCTGTATGTGTCTGCCTGTCTGTCTGTATGTGTCTGCCTGTCTGTCTGTATGTGTCTGCCTGTCTGTCTGTGTCTGTCTAATCGCAAAAAAAGCTTAGCACTGTGCTAATCCCCTCTGTTCCCCTGGCTCTGCAGGAACACATTCCAAGTTAAAGGACTTTATCTATCTGTTTGTCTGCCTGCCTGCCTGCCTACCTGTCTGTCAGTCTGTGTCTGTCAGTCTGTGTTTGTCTGTCTGTCTGTCTGTCTGTCTGTCTGTCTAATCACAGAAAGCTTAGCGCTGTGCTAATCCCCTCTGTTCCCCTGGCTCTGCAGGAACACATTCTAAGTTAGAGGACATTGTCTATCTGTCTGTTTGTCTGCCTGCCTGCCTACCTGTCTGTCAGTCTGTGTCTGTCAGTCTGTGTCTGTCAGTCTGTGTCTGTCAGTGTGTGTCAGTCTAATCACAGAAAGCTTAGCGCTGTGCTAATCCCCTCTGTTCCCCTGGCTCTGCAGGGACACTTTCTAAGCTAGAGGACTTTGACTACCTCTTTCAGCCTCTTGCTCTCTTTTTTCCTGTCCAGTGGGTGGGAGGTGTCTGTGGCCCCATTGATGGGGGTCACATGCCAGGTTTTCCTGTAGTGGGTGTAGCTTCCTGCTGGCCAATCTGCTGAAGAACAGTTAAGCAGTTGAAAGTGGGGTTAAAAATACAAATGGGATCAGGGCCAAACGAACTGGAGGAGTTTGTTTCGGTGGAATGGGCCAACCATCCCGAAATTCTCAGTTAAACAATGAGAGCCTTTGCCCACCAAAACTTTGCTTTTTAAGATGAATAAATGTTTTTATCACTTTTCGATTGAAACCGAAATGTATCACCCCTCCAGGTTGATTAACAAACATCTCTGTTCTCTAGACCCCCACTCCAGAGTGATCTTAAAGACCAAGAATGCTAACGACCCACTCAGCAGTTACATCAATGCCAACTATATCCGAGTAAGTGGTTTATTTTTTTTGTTTTGGGTTTTTTTCCCCTGTATGTTCCATACTTACTTATTCTGTACTTCCATAATTACTTATGAACTTATCAAATCAAATAGCCTTTTATTGTCAATTCACTATATGTCCATAATATACAAGGGAATCGGAATGCTGTTTCTCTCTCATATTCATAGTACAAATATAAAATAAAAAAGTATAAACATATAAGATATAAGATAAATATGAGAAATATCAATAGTACTAAAAACAGTCAATATTAAACCTCTGTACAATGTGCAATAGTTAGTAGAGCAAAAACAGCAAAAGAGCAGTAAGACTGAAGTAAAGTGAGGAGGTGCATTTTAGAGCAGCTTATGAGATGCAAAAAGACAGTTAGCAGGAGATGTAATATTGAGTCTTTATACGGTAGCGGGTACAGTGGGGTATTTGGTAGGTAGTGACTCTCTTGTTACGGTCCAGGGGCAGGGGGCAAGGGGGGGCTGGTAGTGGACAGAGTTCAGCATCCTGACAGCCTGGTGGATGAAGCTGTTGGACAGTCTTGTGGAGCCTGGAGGGTCCAGTACCTTCTCCCTGAGGGGAGGAGGCTGAAGAGGGAGTGTAAAGGATGAGAGGAATCATCAGCAATGCTGATGGCTCTGCGGTTGAGGCGGGTGTAGACAATGTCCTTGAGGGGAGGGCAGTGGGGCACCGATGATCTTGCTGGCTGCATCCACTATGCATTGCAGGGACCTTCTACAGGAGGCAGTGCAGCCTCCATACTGTATCACACAGAGATGCAGCCGGTGAGGGCTTGCCAGTATAACCAATATATCAGTTCATCATCATATAACATTTAAACGATAGAGAAACAAGAAACTTCAATAATCTGTCACATTGGAACGTTGTTTGATAGTGTGACAGTGGATGTGGATACTCTTTTAAAAACGGACAGCTTAAATCTAGAGAGTACACTGCAGAGTCAGCGGATCTCACCACACGCTGCCGTTTGGGTGATATAGATGAGTCATGTAAGAGATGAGAGCTTCCTCAGAGGAAACTTCAAGTGTTGGTGAAGAAAGGGGCAGCTCAGCAGCCACCACGTCATTTATAAAAGGAGATACTGAGGGTAAACAAGGTAAAAAGACATTAACGGTGTGCTGATACTTTGGCTATTTAATGTCTGATGCACAACAGAAAACTCGTGCCAACTGGAACTGGAAATACTGCAAACATTTTTTCACCACCTGAAGCACTGGCATCCAGCAGAACATACAGAATGCAAGTGTTTACAGACACAGCAGTTAGGGCTTCTGCTTTCAGTGTCATGGAGAACAGAGTGCCGTCTCCCCAGGACCCAGACAATAAAATTTGCTGGGGTGTGGGGGTGGATTCCAAAATATGGGACAAATTGCGTCCTGTATTGGTTCAAACAGAAGACAGCGTTTCCATTTCACAATATGGATGATCCCTAATAGTATAGGATGGGAAGCAGCTGTACCTGCAATGTCAAACCCATCTCCTGGAAGAGCAAGACAGAGAAAAGGCCCAGAGACAAACCGCACAATCGGCTGCTTCTGGTGTTACACACTAGGACAAAAAATATTTTTTGTATTATATATTTATCAAAATTAGATCTTCATTTCCATTTCCATTTACGGTATTTGGCAGACGCCTTTAGCCAGAGCGACTTGCATAAGTGCTTAGAAGTCTCAGCAGTGAACACATTCTGAATTGTTCTGTCCAATCATCTTTTCTCATGTTCTGAATCTGTTTAAGAGGAATCCTAATAGAAGTTTAAGTAAGTATTGACGCAGTGAATTGAACGGAGCTTTGAAATGAAGAAACAATAATTATCAATATCGGCTGATAGGAAAAAATATTATCATAATAAAATATTTTGCCATATCGCCCAGTCTTGCAGCCTACATCTGTCCATCGCTTACAAATACTGTACTTAACGGAGAACTTCATTGATATGTAACTGGGCTAATTAACACTCACACCTACCCTGTGGTCAAATTGAACCCAAAGGCACATTTCAGGCTTTTCTCAGAGTAACATGATTGTTGTAGGAGCGTGTAAGAGTTATGGGGACATGTATACTTCTGGCAGCCTGTTTCCTGATTCAGGAAGTCCTGAGGAATTTTTCTTTTCATTCACACCCTGTATAACGCCAAAAACACCTTCCTCCAGATCAGTGATGATGCTCCAAGTGCAGCATAGGATGCTAACTCTGCCACCATCACAGACGAGGTGGGGCCCAGTTATAAATGATCAAAGTCAAAGTTGCAGTCTTTCCCTTATAAGGGAAATAACAGGGATGTCTGCATCCTTCGTGACACATTTTAACAAGTGACACGCCCGTTCTGTGTCATAATGTTCCATACTTACTAATTCCGTACTTCCATAATTACTTTTATAACAGCAATCTGTTTTGATATTTCACATTTCCAATATTGCTTAAATCAAATCAAATAGCCTTTAATTGTCAATTTCAGCTCGCTCATATACAGTATCTTTGGTTTACTGAAAAATGCTTTATATATTTAATGTATTTATTATTATCCATAGTAATATGTCAGTTTTGAGGCTCGTGCTAATAATTTTGCATGGATCTCTGTTATAATTTTCTATTCGACTTGTTTCTCATTATCTGACCTTATTGGATTTCTTGCATACAAATCCAAGCCATTTCAACATACATCAAAAATAAGCTCATACTGTACATTACTAATCCACATACCTGAAATCAGCTATGTGACTTTAACAGTTTTGTTGTTCTTGTAGCTGTTGTTATTATTATTGACTTTATAAATCCTGAAACGTAATTTAATTGCAGATGAAGTTTGAAGTTTAATTTTTTGTAAATTATTCGTGTAATTTTAAAATTGAAAGGTTGTCTTAGCTTGACATGATCCAACATCCGGTTCCTCCTTATGTGCTAAAAGATGTCATGTCATGTCAAGAAGAAGGCCGTTTGAAGATAAGGAGCTGGGCTCTCATTGGCTGTCACGCTCCGAACATGACTGACCTAAGAGCACAGCGTCTCACATTCAGGGCTGTGGGTGTTTTCTCACTGTTACTTGCTCCTTGGCCAAGAACATTCTCTTCCCATTTCCTCAGGCCCGAGACATTGTTTATACATCATTAAGGATCTGAGGACTGGCTGTTTGTCTTTCTTTAATGGCCTAAGCATAGCAAAAGTTGTATTTAAATACAAATTACACAACCCCAGGATATCCACTTGATCAGTTGTTTGTATAGTATTCTGCTACACTGGTGACTGCAGACAGATTACAGACCCATACATGTGATACACAGCTGATTTAAAGTATATGCCAGCAACTTTTGTTTGATTTGTACGTAGTGACAAATAATTAAAGTTTATATGATTTCTCCTGAATTCATATTTCTTTTGAATATGTTCTGCATTTAAAACCGCTGTTTTACCACACACTGCTGGTTGCAAGCCATGTAATGTGTTAATTCCTTATTTCAGTAAAGCCACATATTTGCCTCCATCTCCAAAGTGGCCAGGATTTATTTTTCTGTTGATCCTGGATGTTTAACATACCCTGAGATGGGTCACATTGGGCCATACATCCTCTCTATTTCAGTCCCTCTCATAGATAAGTAGCATAATGATACCGTTAATCCAGTCCATTGTTTCCACGCCCTCTCCACAGGGACCCCCCCAAACAGTCCACGTTTTTGCCCTTTCCCAGCTTCCAACACACATTCGGAATTCGGTATTCTTGATTGGCTGGGGGCTGGGAGGCAGATACGGGCGTAAATACTGTACATCAAAAAGTATCTTGTAACAGGTTGCAAATACTTGCTCATCAAATGTAAAAAATTTAATACTAAATACTGGTGTCAAAATGTGTTTCATTAAAATACAAGTAATTTGTAATTTGAAAATACAAAAATAAAAATGTAAAATAGTAACATGTGCGGTTACAGCCTTAGTCATGTGTAATATAAAATATACAGCTTGTCCTAACTTTAAATAGAATAATAATTTTGTGATCTACATGTTGCCTCACAGTAAGAAGGTCCTGGCTTTGGTTCCGGGTCCTTAATTCTTTGTGGAGTTCGCACGCTCTCCCTGTGTTCTCCTCGGGGCACGTTCTCCCTGTGTTCTCCTCGGGGCACGTTCTCCCTGTGTTCTCCTCGGGGCACGTTCTCCCTGTGTTCTCCCCGGGTTTCCGCTGGGGGCTCCGGTTTCCTCCCACAGCGTGCAGGATAGGCTGATTGGCGAGTCTAATTGGCCCCGTAATTGTGTGAGCGTGGCTGTGGCTGTGTATGCACCCTGTGGTGATTTGCCGACTGTCCAGGGTTGGTTCCCACCTGCACCCCTTGTTCCTGGGATAGGCTCCGGTCACCCCCGCGACCCCAGTCGAGATTAAGCAGTTACAGTGATGGATGGATGATCTACATGTGTTATAGTGTTAATTGTGAAAAATGACTTTTGAATTGAGGTGATCAGTGTTATCACACCACAGCACACAGTGCAGTGTGTCCTCTGCATTTAACCCATATGTGATGTTGTGGCATAGCAGGGGGCAGCTAATCCAGTGCTTGGGGGTGGTACCTTGCTCAGGGTACCTCAGGGTGCCTTGCTGGTCGGGGGTTAGAACCAGCAATCTTTCAATTACAAGTGCGCTTCCCTAACCATTAAGCCACCACTGCCCACGTTTGTAATATTAGTAATGTAATGAGAGCTCAACAGACTGCACCTGCAACAGCAGGTTGGGATTGGGGAGATATTGTGGTTCCGTCTTCAGAAACCGCAATACGAGATCGTGAACGTTTGGATGGCGGTTTCGGTCTCGGTTTCATAACCATTACTCCCTTAATTGAAATAGTAGTGGTGACTGACAGGGGCACTTGTGTGTACTTGTGTACGGGCAAGGAGGCTCACCAGCACTTTCTTAAACCCTAACCCTAAACCTAACCCCACTTCAAATGAATTATCATAATGAATTATCATAATGCTGGAATTTCCCGCCTTCTTACCATAGGGTGCCAAACATGAGCAAACTCGAAGAAACTGTTTTTCACATAAATGCTCAAAAAAAATTATAAACGGAACCATGCATAAAGTCACCAAAGTCAAGTCCACCAGTTGGTTCTGGCTTTTACACAGGCTCAGTGGCTATAAAAACACCGTTAGCTGATAGACATTAATTCTGTCCTTAGGAACAGAAGTAGCTGGCCTGATTTATCGCTAATGAAGGCCTCCATATATGACAAACCACAAGATGCCACTGCCTGAACATGCCTGTTCAAATGAACTAGAATGTCACTAGCATTTAATTCACAAGTTGTAGAGCACAGCACTGCTGTTTGCTAATCACTCTATTTCTCTGTCCTATAATGACACTCAGTGAGTAATGTCTGATACTGTACTTTACTGCCTACTTTACCTTAACGCAATTTGCACCAAAGTAGCTTCTTTCCTTGGATTACTGGTCCAAGGTGGTATGCTGTATTAAAGTCTGTAAGTCTGGCGGTGATGGTTCTTAAAATGACAGGAAATAAATTAATAAAATGACAAAATAGTTTGTTGCAAATTGTATCTGATTTTTTTTTTCCATCCAGCAAAATACAGATTACAAAAATACTCAAAAGTCATTTAATTGAAATACTGGCCATCTCTGCTTGAGGGAGCAAAAATGTGGAGCATGAAGATCTCCAAGAACTGGGTTGGGAGACCAGTTGTCTCTCCAGTTAGGGCCCTAATGTAACATTGTAATTATTTACTTGTATTTTAAGGACAAGTCACGGAGCTTTACTGAGTATTAATTCTTGGTACTGCAGGTTGTGTTGATTAAAAGGAGCTGTACGATTTCAGTGTCGGGGGGGGCGCGTTCAGAGCCGTTATGTTCGGAGGGTGTCCCCCGCAGAGCCTGTTAGCTCACCGCTCACGTCTGACCCATGGCAGGGCTTCCTGGGATTCGAGAGGGCCTACATCGCCACCCAAGGGCCCATGATCAACACAGTCAACGACTTCTGGCAGATGGCGTGGCAGGAGAGCTGTCCCGTCATCGTCATGATCACCAAGCTGAAGGAGAAGAATGAGGTGTGTGAGGGCGACAGCGTCTGGCCCTTACCAGCCCACACACACACACACACACACACCTGCACGAGGACACCTGCTGGCAGAAAACCACAGGCTCTGCTTCCCGTTTGCCTTTTATTGCTCAGCTGATTGGGCTTTCAAGTGCCTTTGCATTGATGTCGTCCTTTTTTTTATTTTCTCTGGCAATTTTTACTTTTTCTTCAATTGGAAAACCAGCACAGGAGGGTAAGACTCCAGTCCTCATAGGAACGTTTATCACAAACGCTGCCGCTAAAAATAGCCACAATAGAGCGGCGTGGGGGAGTCGGGCTACGGCCGAAAAAGACCAACACCCTCACCCTTGGGTAGGACGGGCCCCCACGGGCCGCCAGGGAGGGGCCTCGGACAGGCCTGTCTGTTAAACACTGGGAGAGGCTGCCCTTGCATAAGTTACTCTCCGGCATTTATGCATGTCGGCGGAGAAGGATGAGGCTTCTTGAGGTTTGAGGAGGCGTTACGAGGGAGAACCTACAAGAGAAGCTGTCTTCTGGAGCGTATCAATAGTCATGGTGGACTGAGAGTCTGTAGGTAGCTACCGCCTTCTGTGAAGCACTGTGAATTAGCGAAACGGTATTTTGTAGATCAGGTTTCATCTCTTCATCCACCACTTTCTGCTGCGGTTTTATGCACCCGGAGTGGCCGGGAGCGGGAAGTGGCGTCGTCACGGAAACGAGATGCTGGATGTGATACTGGGTCCCTCGCCCTCTGCAGAAATGCGTCCTCTACTGGCCGGAGAAGCGAGGCATCTACGGGAAGGTGGAGGTGCTCGTCGACGGCGTGAGGGAAAGCGAGCACTACACCGTCCGCCATCTCACTCTGCAGGTAAGTGCACCTGTCACATCATTTCCTGTATGAAGCCAAAGTTGCCGATTCATTCGCAGCTTTGTTTTGTTTGTTGTTTGTTTTTTTTTTGCCCTAATAGTCTGGATTTGTTTATTAATGATCATGTAAAAAGTCACTCTGTGCCGAGGCTCGTACAGCAGCAAACTTACAGAACCACTGGAAAAACAGTCAGGTCATTGTGTTTCAAGCTGTCCGTTTGCGACAGCAATCGATGGCCTGGGATCTTGATTGCAGAATTAGCTTGTAAGCACGCAACTGCTGGTGGTGTATTTCTCAGAATGAAATGTGGTCTTTGAATGCAGTTCGTTGTTTTGTGAGGTCTTGGTCTGGATGCAGTTCTCTGTTTTGTGAGGTCTTGGTCTGGATGCAGTTCTCTGTTTTGTGAGGTCTTGGTCTGGATGCAGTTCTCTGTTTTGTGAGGTCTTGGTCTGGATGCAGTTCTCTGTTTTGTGAGATCTCTTGTTTAAAATCTATTTACATTTCCACTATGTTTTTGGAGTGGGGAGGGCCTCTGTAAGAATGACTAAACACTTGCTTAGATCAGCTTAAGCTGTATTTCTTGCTAACTGCCGTTCTCGGTTGCCTCCTGCCCTGTCCTCAGGAGAGCTCGGCAAATGGTCACTCTTAAACAACCTTAGGATTTTCATAAATAAATCCCGTATCTGTGCATCTTCTCTGCAGCAAGGGGGCCAGAGCCATAGCCTGAAGCATTACTGGTACACCTCCTGGCCGGACCACAAGACCCCCGACAGCGCCCAGCCCCTCCTGCAGCTCATGGCCGAGGTGGAGGAGGACCGGCAGGCCTCGGGGCCCCGAGGGCCCGTCATTGTTCACTGCAGGTGACCCCAGCAGGGCCCACGGGTGTCCACCGAGATGCCTTACATTACGATCTGAGATGCCTCTGTGTGCTATTTACGATTCCTGTATCAAAACATTGTAAATACTGAATGATTGTGAGAACTAGTTCCAGGGATTCTGATTGGCTGTCAAGATTCATGTGGAAAGACAGATCTTGAATGTATTTTAAGGTATGATGTGTGACTGACTAAGCACAGCGGCAGCGTTTTAATGAGAGGCATTCTGGGTAATTAATGAACGGATGATTATTTTGGAGGTTGCGAGCATTCCTGGGAATAATAACAGTAGTTTATGCTTATTGGGGGACAAACGCTTGCTCCCTCACACAGTGCTGGGATCGGCCGGACCGGATGCTTCATCGCCACGACCATAGGGTGCCGGCAGCTGCAGGAGGACGGCACGGTGGACGTGCTGGGCATCGTGTGCAAGCTTCGAGTGGACAGGTGCGGTGCCCGAGTCAGCATGCCACCATCCGTGGGCAGGGGGTGAACATCTGTCACGAGTCAGTGTTGGGGGCCCTTTAAAAAATGGGGCAGTGTCTTGCGCTGTGGGTTAGGACTGTGACCGGAAGGTTGCTGGTTCAGATCCTGCAGTCGGCAGAGTGATGTCACCATTTGGCCCCTGAGCGAGGCCCTTAACTCCTCTTGCTGCGCAAACTCGTACACCTGCTTTCTCAGCGGTACATCACGTTGGATAATAGTCTATAAATAAATAAATGTAAACGTAAAATTGTTTACAAAATGATCGAATAAGAGAAACACAGCAAAACAAATATAGTCGCCTCATAGAAGAACACACCTCGCCCTCAAAATCTTACAATAGCTACCTAGCTGTCCCTGTTTAACCTTCACAAGAAAATAACAGCCAGATTACTTTGATTACCTCTATGCGCTACCATGGTGATCACTATGGTAATAGGTGGGATTGCTCAGACCATTGTTCAGGCTCCAGCCTACTCATAGTGGGCCATTCCTTGATCCTGGATGTTCGGACGGCTTGCGTGACTAATCTGCTTGTAGCTTCCTGTTAAACACAGGCTGTGCTCATAATGACTTCTGAACCAGCGGCACGTCAAACTGAGCTTGTTCTTTTACTTATCCTTTAAAGTAGCTTACTTTGACAGCACAATAATCTAATAAATGGGATTAATATTTATTTTGCATTAAATTGGTTTGTAAGGCAACAAAGAATTAAGCGAGAGGTCTTAATTTATATTTGCAGAGGTGCTTTTGACAGGTACCCGCTAATGAAGGAGTGGGTGGCCATTACTATGCAAACATGACACCCCCAGTAATGCTGTAAGGAGGGGGCAGCTGGCACCGCTATACTGTATCATTTATCTGTTAGGAGGTTCAGGAGGGCTGGGGCTCCAGTGGACAGCAGCTTCATCACAGCAGAGTCTGGCGGAAATGGGAAGGGCGAGCGGCTGCTGTGTTTCACGCAGACAGGATGCCTGGGAAAATAGCTGCCTTCAGGTGGGACAAGGGTTAGGGTGGGGGGGGGGGGCTTAGTGAGTCAGTCACCAACTCAGAGCTGCGTTTGCAAACTATGCCTTCATGTCCTATTTCAGGCCTGAAGTAAATATGTGTTATGAGATCAGCACTGCGAGTGTCTGTGTCGCGTGTCTGTGAGAGCAGCGGGGGAAACACTGGGAGTGTGACTGTCTGTGATGCGTGTCTGTGACTCTCTCTGAGAGCAGCGGGGGAAGCACTGGGAGTGTGACTGTCTGTGTCGTGTCTGTGACTGTCTCTGTGAACACCGCGAGTTTGTTTCTCTGTTGTCTGAAACTGTCTCCTGAACCATGAAGTCTGACTGAATGCGCTTTGCTGTTTTTATGGACAGGGGAGGCATGATTCAGACGGGTGAGCAGTACGAGTTCGTCCACCACGCACTGAGCCTCTACGAAAGCCGACTCTCTGCTGACGCTGGCCAATGAGCGTAGAGCCACACTGTCCATTCTCTTTTGTTTTATTTTTGTTCATCTCCGTGAGGGCCGAGGTTTCCACAAGAGGAACCTAAAGGTAACCCTGTTCTATGGTCATCGCGGTCCCGTCAGAAGGGGCAACATGATTCAGACCATCTGGAATGAGCTTCATTATGTTAAACGTTATGGGAGGAGCTAAGATGATTGGCAGGGGGAGGAGGTGGGCTGATGAACTCGAGTGAGATGCTCTGTCAGTGAACGTCATATTATTCACTTAGTCTTTTACACCTGTCTTGTTTGCAGTTTTGGTTTCTTGTAAGGCAATGTAAACACTGTGTCTTGTGGTCATTTCTCTATTCATTCTGGCACCTTTTCGGGTAGTTAAAGTAGGTTTTTGATATCTACCAGTTACCTGTTCTTATAGAAGCTAGAGATTTTGCCACTTTCAAAGATTCATGATATATCAAAGAGCCATTTGTCACTTAGTAATTGAACCTTACTGTTTTTTTTTATTATTATTTTGTTTTTTGTTTGTTTTTTTGTTTTTTAATTTGGTGGCACATGGGTAGGAGGGTGGGAGAAAATGACATCAAGTTTTATAAACAATATTATAAAGACTGTTAACTGCAATATCCTGGAGGCATTTTCAAGCACCATACCCCAGCACAAAAAGAGCCATAATTAAGACTAGGAGTTTCTGAAATGGTAGCTTGAGATGTGTGTGATCTACTGTACTGGAGACACAGTCTAACTGCCCTTAGCACGGAGTAAAACGTTTTCATGTCCTCACAGACATTTCAGTTGCATTATGCAGCACTTTCACACGAGCATTGTTCAGAAATCCAGATATCCCCGTTTTGTCAGGGTTTAAATTCTTCTTTGAGCAATTGACCTGGTAATTACAGCTCACAGAAAGAGCGTGTTCTGTTTTGTATTTTATTATATAAAATATATCATCAACAGTAGTGGCAATTACAGTCAAAACAGTTCATATTATGTAAATGTATTAAGTAAATACACTTTTACAAATCCTTATTGTTCATTGTAAATTAAATATGAATTTTTTGTATATAATTTCGGTAATGTATGCACATATGCTCTTAATTGACTAAAATTTGGCTCGTGCCAGATATTTAGTAATGTCGGTACTTTTTCCTAGTTATGAAGCAGTTTGGGAAAAACAGCACTCTCGTTTGTCCGAAATTAAGACAGTTTTGTTTACATCACAACTTTAGTCGCATTACTTACACGGAGTAGTTAAAATACTCCCCCATATATAAATAATGATGTTCTTATCAGTTATTTATCAAACTCGTACTTTGAGATACCTCGTAAGGAATTCACTTGTCTGTTGTTGCATATTATTGAAAACATTTGATTGAATTTTAAATTTAAAACTACTACTAATGATTTTTTTCCACTGTTTATATTGAAGTTTTCGGTGCCCTTTGTCGGGTTCGTTTCATAAGAACGCTTTTCAGCACTGAGCTTTGGGCGAGAGTAAATCTGAAACACGCCGTTTTTAACCAGTTTAAATATAAATGCAACTATATGATGGCATTATTGTATCAGAAAATGGCTAGAAAATGTTCATGTTTTTTTTTCCTTCCGTGTTTTGTATGTAGAGATCTCATCGCTTATGCTCACTGGCATGTGGCCGGCATCAACCTCGAGCAGACACCTCCTGTACAGCTTTGAGGGCTCTGGTTGTTAAATAGGCTACAGGCTATATGTATGATAAACCATTTTAATAATTGTGGGTTTCTGATCCATAACACTGAGAGCATGTTACCAGCATGAACATTATTTCACGAATATTAACTGATATGTCAGGCGACGTATTAACTTTCACAGGGTAAACTCTTAGAGACGAGTGCTTCAGGCGTGCACAGTGCATTATTATTATTATTATTATTATTATTATTATTATTAGCCTATTATTATTATTATTCGGATTGGGGCTTGGCTCTGGATCCGATGCGTTTCTGCGGTGCTGTTTGCGGCCGCTCCCGATTTCCTCCGCTTTTCCTCCGCTAAATGCGACGCGCCTTTTGTAAAGTGTCTCCGTGCACAAGCGGTGTGACCGCGTTTTTAACCCGGTCCTTTTGTGTTTAGTGCCCGTACTGGGATCCAGCGGTTTTGTGGGGGGAGGGGTTGCGTGCGAAACTTTTAAACGCTTCTGTTTCTGTCCTCGTATTGTGAAAGATTACGTGAACGTAAAAGTGCTATTATCAACTATACTTGGATGGTATATCTTTGACGACATCAGAAAAAAAAATCTTGCTGCTAAAACTGCAAGTGTTTTATTTCTACGTAATGGCAGGAAAGAAATCAACAGGAACATTTTTAGGAACTTTTTTGTATGTATCGATTTTTTTATTATTTGTGATACAAAAGTTTTAAATATATTTGTCTACTTACATTAGGTCTCTGTTGCAGGTGCACTGCACAATGCCCGTAATCGATGTGTATAATTACGAAATGTCTGTGCATATCGTGTACTGTTTGTATAGCTATTATCCACTATGTGGGCTTTATTGCTGCAGAAGCAAGACGATGTTTCCCTACAAACGATTAACCTAAATGAATGGTGAAAAGTTCACAGTCTCATGTATCAATATTAAGTACTTATATCTAACATGTACATATATTTATGCCTCAAAGTACGCTCTGTCCTGAAGCTGTAAAACAGAACACCTGCTTTTTCTTACACCTCGCTGAAATATTTTAGTTGTGACACAACTGGGCTGATCAAAGATAAGCGATGGTTGTCAAAATGAAAAGTCATGGTAAATGTACTCCAAAAAAGTGACTTTGCACATTCACTTAGCATTTGTGTAAGCTATAATAACAAACATGTCAGTTGTAATGTGGGTGTGTTAACTAAAGCCATACCATGAAGCGTGTTTACATATGTTTGTGTTGTAGTCGGAAACAGATTTCACTATAATGTCGTCTTGTGGAAAGATCTGTAATCTTCAGTAGATTGGACATTGTGGCTTTCCATTTTCCTTTTATTGCTAACTATGCTGTTGACTTTATATTCTGTACTGTCAATAAACTGAGATTCATTTTAAATTATTAACTGGTGTCCTGTTAAATCGTGTGATTGAAAGTTTTTATCGATTACATTTCACCGGCATTTAACACTTAATGCTGTATTTTGAAAAACCTTGGCTATATAAACATCTGGGATGTACTTTGGTATTTCCGACCAAGAATACTTGTGCATTGAAGGCTCTTTACCATGGAAGCTGAATGGAAGGAAGCGGTCGTCACTGACTTTTCCCTTGTAGGCGCATTTCCTCTAAAGCCTTAAACTCAGCCCATCTGAATCTGTCTGTCCCGTCAAACTATTACATTTAATATGGACGCTTTGTTTTTCACGGCGATATCGGCGTTTCTGCGATTTGCCGCAACGGGTGAGTAGCAAACATTGATTTTGTTCCCTGTATTTTGCCATCAGATGATGTTTTTCCATCTCAGGTTTGCTTTCAAAACTATATATCTGAAGGCAAGGTTTGGATAGCCGACGAGAAACGGGGTGCCCGCCTTGGGCTTCCATCGACCTTAGACAAAGCGACGGTGACTTCTGAGTAAGGCAAAAAGTAAAAAAATATATATATATAGTTTATGATTGTTCTCATTGATACAATCACTCACTGGAAAATAAAAAGAGTTTGTGCTTAAGTGTTTACAGGAAAGCCCTGTAACAATTTCCAGGTACCATTTGCACTCGGTGTTAAGTCTAGCAGGGCGAACATGATAGCGAAGCGTCTTGGATATACTCCAAAATAAAACGTTTTGATGGTTCTGAGAAGAGCACGTAGAAACATCTAACAGTGAAACTTGGATCACTATCTAATACTTCCTTTTTTTAATCTCAATGTGGGAATTCTTTCCCATATACAAAAGGTGCTAAATTTGCTCTGGAAGGAGCAGACCAGTTTCAGTTACAATACATCTTTTGGTTCATGGATTTGGCTTAAAATGTTTAGTTTATTTTGACCAAATACCTGCTGTTTTTAGTAATAGGCGTTTGAATATGTTTTCATCCATTACTTTACAATAACTATTTGCTTAGTTTTGGTTAATGATTTTGAGCCTTCGCCAGGAGCTACAGGGTGCGGAGCAGGGTGCAGTGGTGCCCCCTGAACAGGGCATGAGGCCTTGGCAGCAAACATTCAGCCAGGGAGTAAAGTTAGTATAGCGTCACTGTTGCTGAGAGGCGTGTTTGTGGACTATGGCAGGCGACCTCTGTAATCAATACATGCTTTTTCACATTAATCAACACAGGAATAAAACCATACAACCTTGGTACAGTTTTTTTTCCCCACGGAACAAACGATATTAATGTACTCGATGGTACAACAAAATGTTCCCCAGAGTCCATTTCTGTATCTTAAAAGGTACATATATCTACAGGTAGGGTACAATTGGCAGATCGTTGAGGGTACAGTCCCAGGTAATTGTATCCTCAAAGGTATAAATTGTTTTTTTTTTTTTCTGTCAGTAAATGAACATGTATAAAAGGAGTTGAAGTACTTTCTGCCTATAGGTACCGTCAAGGACTGTGGATGGCAACTGAACAAGGGGGGGGGGCATAAAGTCTCTTCCACTTGCTGTTTAAAAACTCAGATATAACTTTCGGTTTTGAAAAACACAGGTTATTATTTAGATTTTTATTGACAAATTTATATGGGTTTGCAGTAAATTATTTTTAGGTGATTTTTTTTTTTTTTTACAGTTGTTCATCACAGCATTATTAATGAAACTCCATGGGCACCCATGTATGTGTGGATTAGTGTTGCCACCCGTCATTTATAATACAGGATTGTCCCATGTAATATGGGACACAGCAATTTATTTTCCATCTTATATTATGAGGGACTGTTGGCACCCTGGTGCTGATGATGTCAGGTGACCTCCCGCCTTGTCTTTGATTCGTAGACGGCTTCCTCATTGCCCACTCGCACAAGCTGCTTTGTCTCGTAACAAGAAATGTGACGGTCCAATTGGGCAAATGCGATGCGACGGACCCGGAGCAGCAGTGGAGGTGGACTGGGGGCATGAAGCTCCTCCACCAGCGCTCCTCCCGATGCCTGTGGGCTGAGAGCAGCCTCGCCGTGCCTCGGCACTCCCGCCTGGCCGCCCTCACCGACTGTGCCATCTCGCCAGCCTGGCGATGCCACGACACAAAGGGCACCCTGGGGCTGGCCAGCTCTGCCATGTACCTGATGAAGCAAGGCTACAGAGCTGTGCTCAGCGAAGAGCCCAGATACTCCAAATGGACCAGGTACAAAGGGGATGGTCGGGGGAGGATGCTGGAAACGCCTCTATGCCCGCCCAAAGGTGAGAGCTCATGCCATTTAGCATGTTGCTAACCCTTCTCGTTTCTCATAGTATGCCTGTAAACATACAACATTTCAGAATAATTACACTTGGGCTAATATCTCAATTTTCTATATGAATGATGCAGCAGTGTATTACTGCACATCCAGCTCAAACACCTAGAGGCACTATATAAAAATAAATTGACTTGAATTGAGTCATAACTGAATAGCAAGTTTCCAAATCTCCCTTAGTCAGCAGGATATATTTTCATGGACCTTGTAAGTTCTGGAAATTTCATGAAAGTTCTTTGTTGGATTACATGAGGACTGAGTGAGTTTTGGTTGCCAATACTGTAACATTATGAAGAAACCTGACTTTAGGTCATTGGTGGTCTCACCTCAAAAACAACAAAAAATGGAGTGGGTTTTGGAAATTTGCTCCTCAGTTATGTTTGGGCTTACATAACATGCACCAAAACAAAGCATTTCCTTCCCATCTCACCAAGTTCTTGAACATCTGAGAACATTTCTCTCATTTACGGCCTTTGGCAAAATACAAAGAAACAGGCTGGTGAAGTGATAAAGCTGTCCTTCTGTATCAACACTTAACACCAGCACTTAAGGGATATGTTTTACGAGTCCATGTTTTGGCTGTTCTGGCTTGGTTCTGAGTGAAAGGAGAGGATGTTACTTTTGATACCCACTTCCTTGCACATTGTGCTTCGGGGACTTGGAAGACCCAGACACCGGCAAAGGAATGTCGTAGACAGAACCCCCCACCCCCCCACCCCCGTCTCCCCTTCCTGGCACTGTAAGGTATGGCGGGACCATGGCTAAAACGTTCACACACACCAGCTTGATAACGCAGTGTGTCTGTGGGGCCTCTCTGCCCTTTGCTAACGTGTTGCAAAGCTAGGTCAGATCTAACCAGAAGATCTATGTAGAACTTGAACTCATTACCTTCTAGAGGGGTCAGCTTTTCTGAGTGCACTTTCACATGGGTGAATTGCGGGAGGTCATTGTTTTCCCCAGAAGAAAAACACAATGCTTGCTGTCAGCCAATGAGCGTGATGTACAGGTCCCTGTTACCCACAATTGTCACAGACATTTTTTCCTGCAATGAACTAGGTGATTATCGGTATATAATCTATATCTAAAAATCTATATTGGCATATATATAACGCATTTTCAGTATTTTTTGGTTTGTTGCTTGTTTTGTCCAACGTTACACAGCTAACATTACCAAACATCACACTGGTGTCCTTGTATAACATAAAAAAGCCTTTGGGTGTATTAGCCATAGTGCATAATCCCTCCCCCGAAACAGACACGCACGCAAAAATGCCAAAAACCGTTAATCAAATGCGACCAGGAAATCGCGTAAGGTCAAAAGCTGTACTTGACAGACTTCCTGTCTTTTCAGGACAGCACTGTTTCAGAGACCCCAGTCATTACAGGACAGGAGAGCACTGCCGCTTTCCACTAAAACTGAACCAAAACACACATAAACACCTGAGAACTGGAGGAGAGTTTGTAAAATACGCTTTTTCATCAGCTTCAATATTAATTGACCAAACATTCCTTCCTCAAGTGGATGAGATATTCCTACATGATGCCTTGATTTCTTTTTGTATTTTGACTCATCTTGTCAGTGAAGATGACAATAAAGATGGAAATGAAAAAGCGTGATGGTGTGTGTCAGCATAGGCTGGATCCTGTGTGTCTCAGACCAGCCAGCGGGCAGCGTGTGGCTTAGTGGGCGAAGCCTCTGTGCTTGTGATCAGAAGTTCAGAACTTCCCTATGGGGATCAATAAAGTATCTATTATTATTATTATTACTAATCTCATTTGCAGTATTCATCTCTGCAAATCTGCTACCGATGATCGATAAGAAGAGCATGTGTGAGGAGTGGCTGCATGACCAGCTCCAGATGTGTGTATTTTTGAGGTTCCAGCCATAAAGGAAGCAGACAGCTTGTCTGGTGTCAGTCTGAAGGGAGATGATGAGGTGTGTCGATTTTAGGGAATTGCGTCTGTAGGGTGAATTGGCCACTTTGCCCATACGAAACTGACAGACATGCACTTCCTAATCTAGAAGACCCGCCAAAATGTCTGTGGTCTGTTTGCCGGCTTTTACACACATGAACACCATGATGAAGATCACAATCTTGATGCTCATCTTAAGCGCAGTACTTTAGGAACAGGATTTAAATATAAATGGAGTTCGTCGAAGGACAGCTCTGCTTCCTTCGACATTAACCTTTTCAGCTTAATGTCCCAAAATTTATTACAAGATTCAAAGTGAATGGTCTAATAAAAGGTCAGTTTTGCGCTAAAGAATTATGCCTTTTCATCAGCTGTAATGTTAATTATCCTTAATAGCTCTAACTAGACATTCCTTCCACAGATGAATGAAATATTCCTACATGGCACCTTGATTTCTTTTTGTATTTTGACTTATTTCACTTACTGCTGCCAAAACATCACTTAGCAGCTAAACTCTGCTAGCAGTAAGACGTGTAAGAAGCGATCCATGAATAACTTGATATTTTGATGTGTTTCGTGGGGACATTACGAATCAATAAGCAAGAGAATTACGTGTAGTGATAATTGACTCTGATGCATTTTTAAGTTTCATTCGTACGTTATGTTTAAAAAAATTCAAGTACTACTTAACCATTCTATACAGTACTGTATGTAGAATACTCATATCAAATAAAACTGCTGCAGCCTGTCAGAAAGATGAAAGACAACAGCCCGTTCCAATAGACTAATCCAAATAAAACCGATGTAGCTGGATTCTCCCCTTCAATTCATTATCTGGGCAGTTTATGAGATTTTAGGCCAACTAGGTGTTTTATTCTGTAAAAACCCAAATGACTAAACATAGAGTTTGATGTGTCTCAGTCCATTATGTTTGCAATGTGATGGAATTTGTGCCAATTACAGTACTAATCTTTGGTAAACTGGGGCAGGTTTTATGTTTGTAAATTTTAAGAGCCAGCAGTATTTGAATTACCATTCCAGTATTTGAATTACCATTTCATTTCACAGGGCTCCCAAGTTCTCGGGAAGTTGTCTTGCTCTTCTAAGGATAATATAGGAAACTGCTAAATTTCTGTACAGATCTTTGCATTAAATGTTTATTGAGCTCACAGACTATTGCTGTAACATGGCTAATTGTGGACAAATCAGTTCATAAAAGAAAAATGAATTCGCTATATGGAGCACTGTCATAATGAAGGGTCAATCAACTTATGCAACGTTAATAAATATCAAAAAACATATTCGAAATTTGTTTTCATGGTGCCTGTTGACATTTGCGTCTCATTTTTTTTAGTGATTAATTGTCATAGTTGACTCACCACAGCACACAGTGCAACATGTTCTCTGCATTTAACCCATAACTTAACATGCGACATAACAGGAGGCAGCTAATTCAGCGCCCGGGGAAGCAGTGCTTAGGGGCGGTACCTTGCTGGTTGGGGATTCGAACCTGCAATCTTTCAATTACAAGTGCACTTCCCTAACCATTAAGCCACCACTGCCTACCATTTCAAGTACAATTAGAACACCTATATTGAAATCAGCATGAGTGTCTTGGGCAGCATTTACCTTCATGGTGACTGTTATTTTAACGTAAACCCTGTCGCTTTTCACAGATCCCCCAGTTTACACAACAACTGCAGCAAATTCCTCCTTTTCCGCCACCATATTCAGCGGTAATCCATCAGATACCAACACTGGACCTGTCTCCTCTAGAGCAACACGTCCAGCCCTATCAACAAGCCACACACCTTCAAGAAGCACAAGGACCAATACAGTGGCAGAGCACCATGTTAGCTCCGCCTCCAGTACCAGAGCTCTCTACACTGGTGCTGCTACTCGGATTCGGGTCCGAAGGACCAGCAGCGTGGGGCTCCTGACCAGCAATTCCACACCTCCGGTTACCAGGACCAGTAGAGTCAGCCATAGAGCCCATACATACGGTCCCATGCCAGCCACCCAGCACTCTGAAAGTAAGAGCCGCACACCATCCACTGCAGGCACTAGTGCACTGGCAAGCTGGACAACTTCTGAGGATTTCCCTACAATCACTGATATTCCACTCGGGACAGCTAAAACTCTGCGAGAGTCACATATGACTCGTACCTCGACTGATGCATTCCCATCTAAGAGCCCTAAGACCCTCAGAAATACTCCAAATTCAAGTGCAACCACTGAGAATCTCATCAGGAGTGCTACAACAGGTCAAGTAGGCAGGCCAGCATCTTCCAGATGGTCTGCTGCAGCTAGAAGTGTGACATCTGCTCTTCTCAAAGTGTCTACAGCTGATGGAGCTGCTTCCAATTTCTTTGCCCCACCTGCTATGATTGCTGGGACACTCACCATAACCGCAGCACCACCCAGTATATCTTCAGCTCCAGTGAGCATTTCCTCTGCTGCAGAAACTGTTGGTCCTATTACCTCGGCAGCTCCTACTATGGCACGGGCTGAAACTATTGTGCTCAATAGAACTGATGCAGTGCCTGACCCTACTGTAAATCCCACTGTGACTGATACAGCGTCTACTGTGGGCATAGGAACTCCAGCTCCCAATATGCCCACCGTTTCTGTAGTTCCCTCTATGACCACCACAGAGCCCACCAATACTGTAGTTAACTCTATGACCACCACAGAGCTGACCAATACTGTAGTTCCCTCTATGACCACCACAGAGCCCACCAATACTGTAGTTAACTCTATGACCACCACAGAACCCACCAATACTGTAGTTAACTCTATGACCACCACAGAACCCACCAGTATTGTAGTTTCCTCTATGACATCCACAGAACCCACCAGTACTGTAGTTCACTCTATGACCACCACAGAACCCATTAATACTGTAGTTCCCTTTATGACCACAGTAGAACCCACCATTACTGGAGATTCCACTGTGGCCATCACAGAACCCACCATTACTGTAGATCCCACCATTACTGTATTGCCAACTAGCACCACCATAGAACCCACCATTACTGCTGACCCCACCATGACCACCACAGAACCCACCATTACTGTGGTCCCCACAACGACCACCGCTGAATCCACCATTATTTTAGATCCCACTAAGACCACCACAGAACCCACCATTACAGTAGTTCCTAATATAACCACGTCTATAAACAGAATGGGTACCTTTGCCTTCAGTATGGAAAGTACTGAAGCTAGCATCATGACCACAGTGACCTCCCTTGACCCTTCCACTAAAACTGCTGCTGTGTCACCCATCACTAGCGAGGTCACTCCCCGCTCAAGAGCTGGGACCTCAGAGGAATCCTCTTCAGCTGTCATTGTCATATCTACTTCTACTGTTCCAGCTCCCAACTCAAGTACCACAGAGGCCACCATGACTAATGCACCTCCTTTCTCAACTACAGCTATGCTTCCCACAAGCACCATTACGTCATCCAGCAGTAATAGGGTACCACCCACTAAAGCTACTACAGCATCTACCATTTACACCGTAGGTCCTACCAAAAAATTTTCAGCATCTACAATTTATATTGTAGGCCCTAACACTACCAATCCATCTCCCGTTACCTCAGCAACCCCCGCTACAGCCTCTACAACATCTCCCGTTACCACAGAAACCCCCAATACAGCCTCTACAACATCTCCCGTTATCACAGATGCTCTTACCCATAGCACTTCAGCATCTCGCACTACTACTGTAGCTCCTTCTACTTCGGAGCTGACAGGGACTCCAACTTCCACCACAACCATCAGAACTAAACAGGTGAGTCAGATTTCTTTCATTTTTAAAATTAGTATTGCTGAATGTCAGGACAAGCGGGTATGGAAAATGGATGGATGCCAGTTCTAATTCCTCAAATTGTTATTTGTTTGTTTGCTCTCCTGTTAATGTATGTGTTTTGTTTGTTTGATGTATTTTTTTCCTGGAAAAACAAACTGGCAGATCCAGTCATGTATCACTCTTTTTGGTAGATCTGCATTACTACAAATTTTCATTGGGAGTTTTTTTTTTTCTATTTTTATTTTTTCCAATTTACACCATTCATTTTAAAACCGACAGACGTGACGTAAATACAGCCACCGTAACATGGGCGTTGCTAGGCCATTTTAAGTACTCAGCCCCCCTAAAAATTCTCCATAAAATTTACACAAATTGGTGATCGGCCACGTCCCCTTTAAATTTCATATGAAAACGGCGGCAGACTTCGGCTCCGCCCCGTCTTTCAGCGCCGTCTTCAACTGAAGCATCACAGTCTGCGGCATCACAGAGCGAGGATTAAGCCAAGGTGTCTGTTTTTCGATAAATTGTTATATCTGCATCAGTGCAGTCCTTTTTCATAAATACAGTTTACAAAAATGTCAAAATTTTCGCTGTGTTACGTCATCACACCAGCTGTTTCCTCTAGCGAAAATGAAGCCCTTAATACAAACCCTATTAACCCATAGTCTACTTTATAAAACAATGATGCTGTTGCTGTTTTAATTGGAAAACCTAACTGTCTATATAAAACATTACACAGTGCATGGCATTAACTGTTATGCAAATAAATGATTAAAAACAGTGACAGACAGCATTCATTGCACTCGTTTTAACTGCATAGCAGTGTGATTTACAGAGATAGAAAAATCCTGTTTTTTTGTAATAAATATTGTATTGTATTAAATAATGTCCCAGATCGTGAAAAACATTTATTAGCCTTAGAGTAGGGTTTTTTGTCACTTTGATTTAGAAAAAGTTACTTTTTTAATGAATAGAAACAAAAAAGAATAATATATAAAAAAAGATGTTTTGTTTAATTACATTAAAACAATGTTTGTCTATATTAATGAATTAGAATAAATAGCCTAGTAGATATAAAGTTTTAAGGGGTTGAATGTAGAACCTACTGTCTTATTTATGAGGAATCAGGAAGACTCATTTGAGTACTGATTCTGAACAAGCCAAATATGTGTTAAACATCTATGGGGGCTGAGCCCCCCTTAAATGAAAATCCTAGAAACGCCCCTGGTTCGATTAATTTATTGTACCTTCTTTTGTCTGTTAAATATAAATTTAACCAGCCTGTTTGGGTCTTCATTTTAAAGCATGGGAACATTCTCAGTTTTCCCATTTGAAATAGAATTTTATTTTCATCATCATTATCATCATCATCATCATCATCATCATCCTTGTAATTCATCCTTAGACATTCTCTGCATTCCTTCCTTTTTGAAGTGCCTAGTCTGCTATTTGTGTCTGTTTTCTTATACTAACTGTATAGTAACTGTGACCCTAGCTTCTGGGGTGCAGTGGGGTCCCTTTCCCCTTGATAAGAGCCGCCCCCCTCGATATCCTGCGGTCACAGGAAGTGAGGGAGAATGTTATGAGTGCAGCAGCAGCCGCTCCCATGACGGTCACGTCCGGCCCCCCCTAGCAGGCCGTCTGCTCCTTCCCCTTATATAGGCTGCAGCTCTGAGGAAGCGCACTCTGAGACACGAGGTATTGACACTTTAGGCAGCACTGCGCACAGGTGCAACAGGTGCACCAAAGCAGGGCTGTGTCACGGATTTTGTTTTGCAGCTGTAAAACAAGAATGTATGTCAATCCCTATTACATCCACCTTCACAGTTATTCCCTTTTGTGTTTATAAATGTGTTTTGTATAATGAAAATTGCTTTTTCTTCTAAGTGTATTCTTTTGCATGTTTTATATGCCATTTATCGATATTATTTATCTAACGGTAATTTAACAGCATTTATATATGTATTTTTCATTATCTTTTATAGCCTAGATGATGATGTATAATAGTCAGTTGGCTACCTACCTGGGCTGTCAGAAAAATGAAATATGACAGCCCATCTCAATAGAGTTGTCCAAGCAATTTTCTAGATGAAGTTTTGTCATTTATTTTCATAAGAATTCCAGCCAAATCCCCTTACTCCCAATTCACCTAGCTGGATTTCTATTAAACAGGGAAAGTACCCCTGAGCAATCGATCCAAACGGAAAAGTGGAAGACTGACAGATAGTTCCGCCAACGATACTGAAGTCGAGCCTTTCGGAGCATCCTTAATAGTAGAGTCACGCTACTAAGTTTACTTTCACTTGTATTTTATGTTCACACTTATGTTCCGTTATTCCCCTTTCAACCTTTTTTTTTTTCCTGTTTGGAGTGTCGCTATCGAGTCTAGGGCGGAGTGCCGCATATATTGAGCTTGAATGATATTTTAAAGTACTTCGAACAGCCCGTCTTCGTGGGGAACATAAAGGTGACCTATAAAAAGCTTAAGCTGGATTCAAAAAGCAAAGTTCGGCGGGAAGGAAGTATGGGTGGGACGTAGAATGAGGCAGAGGCGCTGCCGCCAAGCTGTGATGTGACTCCGTTTAATAAGATGTTTGGAGGCAGGAATTAGAATTTCAGCGTCCAAACTTTACGCACTAGCAGGTTGCGTTAACTAAAGCGGGTTGTAAAACGAAATTCCAGGAAGTGAAGACAATTATTACATTTAAAATGGATTCTTTCCACGATTAAATATAGAATTTATATTTTGGGAGTTTTTGCGAGAGTGCCGTTTGGAGATCGAGATCAGATGCGTGGCCAGCTAATGCTGATCGAGGACGTCGATGAAAGAGGCAGCATCAGGTGGTCGCGGATCAGAATGGCAGTCTGGGACTGGCAACAAACCGCAATCTGCCATCTCTTATCAAATACCCCATAGATGCCACACCAAAGCCATTTTTTTCATTCTTTACATCTGTTGCTTATACAATAATTGTATTAAGTATATAAACAGTTAAACTTAATATGAACAAGATAAACTTTATATAAGTAGCCTACATTTTTATTTTTGAATATTTCATAGTCGTTAATGCACATATGCGCTATATTTCTGTTATTTATTTGAACGAGAATATTTAAAACAATCGCAATGCTGAAATCAATTTGTTTGATACTTTTTGTAGCATCTGAGTTTCTCCAGGTGAGTTTCAAATAATGTCTTTTTGTTTTTATTTTATGAGCTAGCTATGTTCTGATCTATATTATGTGTAATATCAGGAACATTAATATTGTGCTTATCCCCTTTTCCCTTAAACGCCTGTTTTAATTTCCCTCAGTGTGAGACCACAGAAATTATGAAGTGTCTTGTGAACATTACGGAGTCCCACGCCAGTACGGAGTCGGCTTTGTTAAAATGGACTACTCCTGGAGAAATGTGCAATTTCAGTGTCGTTGTTCTGGACGGCATCTTTGGAAGCGTGGATTGTGTCCGGGAAGAAGGACAAGGCAATGCGCACACCTGCGAAATCAGGAGTTTACAACCTGGGACCGTGTATCACCTCGAAATAATGTCGAAGACAGACGGACGGCGAGTCAATGTGTCACTGCAAACAGGTAGGACTCCGTTAAATTTAAAACGAAAAGAACAGGCTCTGTTTAACACAAAACCATTTAATGCCGCAATGCTATTTTTATAGTCAAATATGGGCCTTACCAGATGCTAGCGGAAAATCAATAGCGAAAAAAAACATTGAAAACTTAAAAAGTTATTCGTTTATAAACAAAAAAAAAATTATTAATGCATTTAATATTTCAGTCGTAGACTCGTAGTACTACAAACGATCTTTGAATCGTGAACACCACTTAACATTATTTTACAGACCTAATTAACATACCTAATAGTCATATCAGTTTTCTGAAAACTCGTATTTAAATTACAAGCCCGTTTTCTGTGAACCTGTATTTATTGACATAACTATTAGGCTACCATTAGCGAGTTATTCGATAGTAATTATTTTAAAATTTTAATTTACATTTTGAGGGGCTCCGGACCCTCGCGACCCTGAATATGATAAGTGGTTACAGAAGATGGATAGATGGATGGATTTTGTTAATTGCTTGTTGGAGGCTGAAAGTAATTGTGGTATTCACAAAAATAATGCTGATCTACGGAGGGAAAAGAATGTCGGATTTTTTGTAAGCAGATCATTTTGAGTCTGTAAGCTTATAAATGGACGGAATCGTAGCTGCTTGTGATGCTGTGAAACGCAATGTTTGGTCGGAGTCCTGCTTTTTGGGGAAACCGTACGTACTAATTAACGCTGTGGATATTTTCATGGGAGAGCTGTCTGTTTTGCACCACTGCGATTTCTTTCAGGACCACATCTGTCTTAAGTGGCATGGTTATGGATATAGTACCGGGGGTCACGTTGTAATACTGTCAGGGTTTCCTTAACTGCCAGTATACACGATTTCTGCGTTTTCCCACCCCGGTATTGCCGTCGCAGTAAAATTAAAACGTTATAATTAGTACGAAGATTTGCAAACGCTCTCTGCCTTCTCACACAGCTCTGCAGCGGAAGTTGCACATAAAGAATGGAAATGGTATCCATTGTAACGTACAGTAGGACCAATGTGGTTCTAAGTAGGATTAAATGAATATTACTAAATGCAGTTAGATGTGCTATTTATGTGTAAGTTCTTGTTCTTTTATTTTTGGTATGTTTTGATATTCTATTTAAATGTGCGTGAAGTGGCTTTTCATAAGACTGTTTACTGTGTATACTGTTGTATTGAAAATAAATCTCGCTTGGAATATGAATCCTAAATAAAACGTCATATTCTCCTGAGTTCATAGCAGGTATCTCACTATATAGAAAAGTGATATTGTGTTGACGCAGATTTAACTAAAATCAAATAGCAACACAGCATGTTAAGTTATTGCATATATTAGTTTAAATCAGGTTTCCAGTCATTTTTTTAGGCTTAAACCTCTCTGGGCCAGGCAAGTATGAACTTCTCAGTACACATCAGGTATCCTACTATATAGAAAAAGTCAAATTGTCCTGGCCCAGAGAGGTTTAAGGTATTAAAATGGTCATGGAACCTGGCTTCTCATTCACACCATTGTGCAGAATAGTATGGATTGTTTCCATCTGATTTTAAAGCATTAAATCAGTCTGGGCCAGGACAATGTCACTTTTCTATATAGTCGGATACCTGACGTGTACTGAGAAGTTGATATTTGCCTGGCACAGAGAGGTTTAAGGTATTAAAATGGTCATGGAACCTGGCTTCTCATTCACACCATTGTGCATTATAGTATGACATGCCTTGTTTCCATCTGATTTTTAAAGCATTAAATCAGTCTGGGCCAGGACAAAGTCACCTTTTCTATATAGTTGGGTACCTTATCTGTACTGAGAAGCTGATATTTGCCTGGCACAGAGAGGTTTAAGGTATTAAAATGGTCCCCCTACAGGCACAATCGCGTCATTGCATTGGGCTGCGAAGCATTTAAGGTCGACCAGAAAATCCGAATAAGGAACTGCGAATAAGTAGCCAACTTCAGCCTCGTTGTTCATGTAGGGTCCCAGGGCTGGAGAGTAGATGGCCGCGGGCCAGCGAGGCGGAGTGGCTGATCTTAAGTGTTTGTTCCCAGACGCGACTCCCTCTGCCCGGCCATTTCCTTGCCCTATTGTTCATTTTTGTTCTAACGGAAGCAGAAGGACTTTGTGTTTTATTTCATGGGACTGATAGATCAGATAAACGGTGCACTTGTGAACTTTCGCGGCGAAGCACGCAATCTTCTGGCTGAACCTCGAAATCAACTTTCTTGTAGTTGAGCTCATCTGGCATTTAAATTGTGATTGATTAGGACAAATTGAGGTTATCTCATATTCTTGTTTCAGGCTATTTTTAGCTCATTTTCAAGAGAAGGAAGTGCATTCCTTTTCACTGCTGTAATATCTACTCTTATTAATTATGCTGCAACAAGTTAATGCATTTCTTGTAATAATTGCTCCTCAAAAAAGAGCTTGCATTATGTTGTAAAGAAAATATACTGTACTATATTTTTTTCAGTTTTGTGAATATTGCAATTTATAAAGCAGCTTCTATATATGTGAAATAATGCAGGGCTGCCAAGTCACACATCTGGCGTGAGCTTTCAGACTCTCTCGCTCACGCAAGAAATTTTACGGCAAATCTATATTATCCCATTATAAACTTAAAATTAGCTACATCAAAAGCGTTGGGGTAGTTTGCAAACCCAACAGACTATTTATAAGGTAATAAAACTGTTACATACATGTAAATGCATGTGCAGACTTGTCTTAGATTGAAAATCTGCTCCAGTCATCTAACCGAAGCTGGAAACCCTGATAATGCCACAGTCGTGGGCCAAAGGTGGCACCTGTGGTGGCACTGGGTTCTTCCTAGGTTGGTGTGGCCTTGGGGATGCCTGAAAGGAAACCCTAAAGAAAGGTTCAGGCCTCACTGGGAGCTGGTCCCAAGAGCCCAACCTGCCCCATGCTCTCGAAAGGTCCCGCGTTCTCGTACCCCTTCCTGCAGGACAGTGCCCCACGCCCACGCATTTTCCCCAAGCCAGACAATGTTATCATGGCCCAGGGATCTTGGAACAGGCTGCCCTTTCTGCGCTACACAAAGAGGGGAATGGCTCTCTCCATTTCTATGGCGTTATGTAACAGCGCACCCCCCCCCCCCCCCCCCCCCCCGCTTTTCAATGCCATGAGAGCGGCGGCCTTTTGTCTCACCAGTCCAAAAATTCACCTGTTGACAATACACACCGGTTGATAAATATCTTCACGCAAAAAATGCTTTATTTTTGTGAATGCAGTTAATTGAGAAATGAGAATGATAACTTAATTAAGAATGATTGCTATATTAGATACTCCCCTATGAGTTAGTGAGGCGTTAGTTGCTTAACTCTATATGCGTATGAGCAAGGGTATAGTTACCAGGGGAGATGGAGGGGGCGTGTCCCCCCCCCCCAATATGAAGCTCTCTCCTGTGCCTTTGCATATGAGTGAATGAGAAGGGTGCAGTATGAATAAATCTGCAGTGATTTCCAGTGAGGTGGACGCGTCTCACTCCCAGATCCACAGGAACCAGCCAGTTTGGATGTCCAGCTTGACCAAAACCGGACCTCAGGGCTGCGGGTGTCGTGGCCACGCTCCCCAGGACAGGTGGACTGGTATGAGCTCACCCTGATGGACACGGAGACGGGGCAGACCCAGAGTACCGTCATCGAAGGCTCCGCCGAACCTCAGTCCGGCTTCTCCGCCCTCAACCCCGGTACCCGCTACGCCCTCACCCTGGTGGCCATAGCTGGCAACAAGACCTCTGCAGCCGTGCAGACCACCGCAGCAACAGGTAGACAAACACGCTGGAGTGTGACGACACTGCATAACAAAAAAAACAAAAAAAAAAAGCTGTTGGATCCTAATGTTGACCCTTGGGGAACACCACTGTCAGAATAGCTAAGGCCATGTCAGAGAAAAACCCACTTTTATAAATGATTTACAGAATGTGAGATCCAAAGCTGTATTAAAGTAAATAATTTAATAATGGAACCTGGTATAAATTAAGCTTCATACTAAGACAAAACAATTTACTTTAAATAATAAATATTTTATGCTGTATGATATTTGGACTGTGAGTGGAATGACTCCTTTTGGTGGTAATATACAACAACAAAATTCTGGTTACAAAATTCTGGGAATTTTCCCGTTAATTCCCATATATTCCTGTTAATTCCCATGAAAAGTTTCCAATTTGGAATATTCCCAAAATTTCCCAGCTTAACTTCCCATGGAATGGAAATTTCGTGGAAATTTTCCACCCCTTTGCCACCCTGGTAAATGACGGTTAGCTCAAACCTTGCTTCCTCCTCATCCCTCAGCTCCGTCTGCAGTCAGCGGCCTTCAGCTCACTCCGTTCTTCAACACCCTGGGCGTTTCCTGGAAGCCGGGCCCTGGGCGGGTTGAGCGTTTTCAGCTGCTGTTGATGGGCCATGACCATGACAGCCTGCGGCAGAATGTGACACTGGATGGCAATGCCACCTCCTACACCCTGAGCGGCCTGGTCCCTGGACATCAGTACAACGTCACCTTGGTCTCAGAGTCAGCAGGGCAGGAGAGCGCCAGCTTCGCACAGGTTCAGACGGGTGAGCTTCACCTGGGTCGGGTCTGTCATAAGCTGGGGTCGCGCTTATAACAGTGTAAAACTATTTCAGTCACTAAAAACTGTTAAATGACCACGTTCATCACACATGAGCTGCTAAATGGCATTCCGGCAATTAATAAGCATTCAATTAATTTTAAATTATGATTTGCATCTAGAATTTTAAGTAACTATAGTTATGATTAAAGATTATAACACGGCATTGATTTGCTACTTATTGATTTACCTGACTGGCACTACATACTATATGCTAGTAGACAATTAGCAGTAGAAAAGAGTCCTGTACATAAAATACAAAATGAAGACAGACCCAGCATGTAGAAGATAAAAACATAAGCTAGCATTCCAATGGACAGTCAACACTATAAACGACAACAGAAAGAGCACATGGCTACCTGGAGGCCAAACTAAAGAAATACATCTTCAGCTGTTTTTTGAAGACATCAGTAGTGTTAGCAGCCCACAAAGCAGACGGAAGGCTGTTCCACCATCTCAGCACAGCAGACTGGAAGGCGTGATCCCCGCGTGTCTCTAGCCTTGTACGAGGAACAGTAAGAACGCTCTGGTGAGACCTAAGTAACTGACTGGTGGCATGTCAGTGCAGAAGATCAGAAATATACTAAGAGTTCTGTAAGTGAGAACTAGAACCTTAAAATGGATTCTAAGTTTGAATGTGAGTAAATGAAGAGAAAACGTAATCGGGGTAATATAAGGTGACGACACTAGAGCAGGCTAACAGTCTAGCAACAGCAGTTGGAGTAGTTCGAAGACGTAGTAGTGAAGTCTTATTTAAGCAGGTGAACATAGAATTACAATAAAATTAATGAACACCCGTCTGATCAATCAGTTTTGAGAGTTCCACAGTATCCTGGCATGTGATCTGTTTATTGTCTGCCTCTGATTGCCGTTAGCCCCTATTGGCAGGAGCCTCATACGTGTAGCACATCATTCCTCAGCTGATTTCTGGCCGTGTGAGCGTGTGCGTCAAGGAAAGCCACTTTCCCACGAAGGCCATCAGGGCCGCCGACAGGTGCACGGCCCAGCGGGACAGCGGGAGCCGCGTCTCCGCTAATGAACTCTGCGCTGGGCTCCTTGCTTCCCGTCCTGCTTTCTCGCTCTTTGTGAGCGCTTCCCGCCGCAGTTCCTCACAGTTCCCAGGGACACCACAGGTGTTGGACCTGAGCAAGTGACCAGGGCATTTCAGGCCACGATGAGGCAGGCCTCGGAAGAGCACCGCCCGACTTCATCTCAGGCCGTCGTTCAGCTCCCGTCCTTATTGTTCCAGCCCCACCCATGCCGCTAACTGTTTGCTTTCTTGAGCTCCCAGCCCCATTGTTTGGGAGAACTTTGATGTTGGCGATGTGACAGAAAGCCAAGGAGATGCTATAAACATGCCAAGTCCTCACCAAGGCAGCTGCAAAAACAAACACCTTCGTTGTGCTTCATCGGGGTCCCACGACCGTCTTGCAACTCAGCCATAAACACCTTAATGCCATGCATTTGCTGGCCAACATGCCTGTCATTGCTTCTTCATAATTGTACATTGATAACTCATCTCTAAGAAATATAGACACGTTGGCTGAGTGATTAGCACAGTAGCTTCACATTTCCAGGGTTGAGGCTCAATTCCTACACAGGATTCTGTGTGTGTGGAGTTTGCATGTTTTCCCCATATTTGTCCAGATTTGCAGTTTTCTCTTTCAGTATAAAAACATACAGCTAGGTGCCTTGGTGCCACCAAATTGCCCGTGGTGTGGAACCTGCCTTGTCCCCTGTGCTTTTTGGCACTAGCTCCAGGCTCAGCATGCAATGGCTAAGCTTTTATGGAAATGGATGGATGGATGGAGACTTCTGTACATTCAGAATATATGTTGCTGTACTTTTAGTTCTTCATTTACTAAGTATTATGGTGTAATTAGCCAGATACCCAAAGTGCACACTTTTAGAAACTTACAGTATGGGAATGTGGTGACCAATCACAATGTAACATGCTGACTTGACAGCCATTCTACATCGAAAAATTTGAAGACATCGAACTCAACTTATTTGATTGGTGATGAACATCAGTACTTAAGTACTGCTTTAGACTAAACGTAGAAGTAGGGTTTCCCCATGCTCAACTTTTAGTGTTTAAAATCGAGGCGAGACGTCCTCATGTGGTGGTTGAACATGCACTAGCTGACGTCTCCCCTTAATTTCTGAACAAATGGCGGACGGGCGGCTGAGCTCACGGTGGAGTCTCCAATGTCTCTCCTCCAGCTTGGGCCATGGTGACAGGACTCACCCTGGAGAATGACGGCAGCCAGAGCAGCCTGACGGCCAGGTGGAAGCCGGCCCCGGGAGATGTGGAAGCCTACCGGCTCCAGCTGACTGGCCCAGGTGCCCCCCCCCGGCCGAGGGACCTTCCCCCCAACATCTCCAGTGTGGTCTTCAACAACCTGATCCCTGGAGCCGCCTACCGAGTCTCTCTCAGCACGGTGAGCGTGAAGCAGTCTCCACAGACCATTGCCACTGGGAGGACAGGTACGTTCCACAAGCATTGAGGTAACATTCCCATAACGTTGTGAGAAGGCTTACCAGCAAAACACTTGGGTGTCCCAGCTAAAATAGAGAGAAATGGAATTCTGCAGAGTCAAACAATTATATAATACTATCTATCTATCTATCTATCTATCTATCTATCTATCTATCTATCTATCTATCTATCTATCTATCTATCTATCTATCATATTAGCTACTTTTTGACTAAGTACGTTGACTGTCAGTGTCAAAATTAAATTGCACTATATTTGCTGGTGATTATAAGCAATTGTATTCAGCATCAACCGGATTGTCTTTCATCTTGTGCTACAGCTCCAGACAAGGTAACACAGCTGGTGCTGAAGGGCACGGGTGACCGCAGAGGTCTGAAAATGACGTGGGCGCCCCCTAGAGGGGAGTGGGATCAGTACGGAATCCTGCTCTTCGACGGCTCGGCGGTGCAGGTGAATGTCAGCGCGGGGAATGACACGCGGGAGTACAGCTTCTCTGACCTCAGCCTGGTCCCTGGGAGGCTGTACAAGGCCGCAGTCACCGTGGAGAGCGGACAGCAGAGCAGCACCGAGTCCTGCCAAAAGAGAATAGGTATGTAGCTTGTTTTGCCTTTTAAAAAGCAAGGCAAGTTTATTTATATACTGTAGCACCTTTCGTACAATGCAGTCATTCAAAGTGCTTTACACAAAATACAAAGCAAATTCTATTTAAAAAACATAGAAGATATTACAAATGTAAAAATGAATAAAACACAATAGATTTAAAAGAGAAGAAAATAAACATGACAATAAAACAAAGAACAGATAAATTGGTTAATAGGATTATAATTCTCCATAGGATAATAAGGTGCCATTATTAGAGAAATGCAGTAGCGCTGGGTTGAACGCCAGATCAAATTGGAACGTCTTCCTTCTGGATTGGAAAGTGTCTGGCATCTAAAAGTATTATAAGCATTTAAAGGACAAGTCCGGCTTCCCCTGAACCCAGAGCTGAACTGTGTCACAGGTAACACACTGTGAGTGTTTGAAGAACATGATGAAGCAGCTTTCAGGCCAGGGATCTCCAACACTGCTCCTGGAAAGCTACTGTCCAGGATGTTTTCTGTCCTACTTAGCTTCTCAGAAGCCACATCTTCCCATATTTCCTTTAGGATTAATAAAGTACCAACCTACCTACCTGTTCCTGGTATTTACCTGAGAGACTCATATTTTAGGTCCATCACAGACATCTTTGTGTGACTGAAATGTTTGTATGTCGCACTTCTGGCCCTTCAATAGCTCTATCATGTTCTTGCTTTGTTTGATGCTGTTGTGTAGCTCCTGCTCCAGTCCTGCTTACACCTGTACCTGGACTGGAGTCTTCATTGAAATCTCAGCTTAGCCGCACTTATTCCAAGTCGACTCCTCGACAGCATCTGTTTTCCTCATTTGTTTGTCACTAAGAACAAAAGCCTCTGCTAAATATGTCAGATTTAAATGAAATCATTGCCAACAGGGAAGATCTTAGCTGTTGGAATATTCTTCTTAACTCCTTATCACAAAAATCTCACTTATGCATTTAATCTGATTTGTTGAGGGTGGACTGTAGACATGAGTGTGTATATTCATCCGTCATTTCCATAATGCATTGCTTCGAGATTTAATTGACAGGAATTAAATACAGTGTCCCCTTCACATTCGTGAGAAGATCCCCATTCGTGTAAAAATTAAAGAATAATACTTAGGCACATTATTAAAAATGCAAAATTAACAGTACTGATCCATATAATTTTCACTATTTATGTATTTTATCTTACACATTGTCCAAAAATACTCCCATGTAATTGTTCACGACCAACTGAACAAAAACCACAAATGTTAAATTCACAAATTTGGAGGTGTGCCTGTAACCCTAAGCTGGTACACTGCTTCCTTTTCCTACTGGATACCTTTTTGACCTGGGTTTGATTAAGTAAGCGTATGACGTAATACTGTCAGCTGATCGAGATGTACTGCGCAGTCGTTTGTGCCAGCAGGGGCGTCTGCGCATTCCGTGTCATGGTAACACTGTGTCCATGTCTCTGCAGTCCCCGCAGAGGTCACACGTCTGTCCATAGACAACGAGGGAAGCACAGACAGCCTGCGAGCCAGCTGGGATCGTGCCACCGGTGACGCCGACTCGTACCGCGTGCTGCTCATCCACGACACCACTGTCATCAAAAACGAGACTGTGCCCGCTGACATCACCTCCTACCACTTCCCCTCCCTGCGGCCTGGCACCCTCTACAGGGTGGCTGTGACAACTGTAAGCGGGGGGCTCCCCTCCGGAGAGGTGGTGGCTGAGGACCGTACAGGTAGGGCCCTATACCTTTCCTTCGGAGTTCATAAGCAAAAGGATTAACAAGAGATTTGATTGGTCTGTGCAGACACCATGTGACTTTTGGTTTATTGCTATGTTATTGCACAGTGTGTTAATGCTTTGAACTCAGTCTGCCGGTTTATATATGGTCATTTCTGACCCTTCTACTCCCACAGACATACTGTAAAAACAAGACTGACCTATTGTTTTATGCTCTGATGGTAAAATAAGACTTGAGAACTTTTATTATCCAGTGCAGCAGGAATTTAAGGAATGTCAGGAAGCCTTGTGCAGAAAACAAAAAATTCAAGGTCTCCCCGCCAAAGACTTCCTGTATGAACTCCTGTATTGTTTTCTCAGAGATCTTAAAGCTATTTTGAGCGTTGGATTTCCCCTTCTTAATTACCCCTAACAATTAGCAAGCCAGTGGTATTGCCTGAGACCTTATATCTTTTTAATTTGGACATGTTATATTCTACAAGTTTTTCCTGAGCTCAGGTATGATGAACGAGATTAATGGCTAGTTCTTGGGTTCTAATAATAATAATAATAATAATAATAATAATACATTTTATTTATAGTCGCCTTCCAAGACACGCAAGGACACCATACAATCACAATCACAGCCATGATATAAAAGAAATAAAAAAGAAATAAATAAAAAAATTAATTGATTACCTTTCCTAAATGGCTTCCGGCTACTCATCATTTATGGGGGGGGTGTCAGCCCATTACGCATCAAACTGAGTTTCCCTGGGCCCCAGACCCGTGGTTCAGAACCCTTGGCCTTGTTGACTCCTGGCTTGTGCGTATGTTTGCAACATGCTATTTGCCTTAAAACGTCACTTAAAACAAAAGCATGTGCTAAATATGTAAATGTAATGTTTCTCGGCACTTAAATTTTCCGGGTGACAGTAGGGGGTGTTTGCCCCACTGAGAGCCCTCTTCTGAATTTCTCATGTTCATCATTCCCTCAGTGCCGGCGGCCGTCAGGAAGGTAGCCGTCAGCAACAACGGACAGCGAGACTTACTCAGTGTGTCGTGGCAGCCCGGTCTCGGTGACGTGGATAGCTACCAGGTCACCCTGCAGGACCCGAAGGTCGTCCCATGTCTGAAGGTGTCCCGGTCCAGCCTGGAGTGCACCTTCAGCCAACTGGTGCCTGGGCGGCTCTACAACATCTCCATCGCCTCCCGGAGTGGGAGCTATGAGAACCACACGGTGGTGCAGGAACGCACACGTAGGTCCCGCCCCTTCCATTAGCTGATTGGTGGGACGGCCTTCCCAATATCAGGAAATGGCCATTGAGTAGTTACTGTAGCATTTTCAGTGTGTAGTACTTTGCTCTTTCAGTAACATGAAATTTTACTGGTGGAATTCATGCTTCAAACTCCCATTTTCTCAATAATATGGCACCTACCCCTGTGTTCTGATGACCCCTGCCACATTCCCCCCAGGACCCTCAAGTGTGCAGACTCCAAGGGCGATCCACTCAGCCCGTAACGACTACCTGAAGGTTAATTGGGGACCCGCTACTGGAGACTTTGATTTCTACCAGGTGGCCATCAAGCACAACAACGTTGTCCTGCAGAACCAGACGGTGGGCAGGTCTCAGAGCGAGTGCGTGTTCCACTCGCTGGTGCCGGGCCGCCAGTACACTGTCCACATCAGCACCTGGAGCGGGAAGTACGAGTCCAGCGTGTCCACAGACGGCCGGACGTGTGAGTGGGCCATGGTCTTAAAGTCATAACTCATCCAGATTATTGTACCCTTATTTAACTTGTAAATGATTTGTAGTTATTTAGCTAATACCATCAAGCAAAGTAATTTTCCATATAGTGCAGTATATAGCTGTATATCTTAGCAGGACAGTTATCGGAGTTTTCTGAACTGCTACAGCATGGCCCACATGGCAATTTAGGCATAAAACTTGGGTCACAGTTTTTGTTCTTGATCTGCTACGACGCCTTCTTCCCGAAGGTGTTTATGTGTTGGGTGAGATGGTACGATTTCCCAGGACCATTTAATGCTTGGCAGTTATTCTGGGGAATTCAGTCTTTTATGGCAGCAGTTGAGCAGACCGTCAGCCCTGTTCTGTAGAAGCTGCAGGGCCTGGCACGTCTCTGAAATGGCCCATCTTTTGCTTTACTCCTGTGCCTTTTCCTGCTGTGCCTTTTCCTGCTATGCCTTTTCCTCCTGTGCCTTTTGCTGCTGTGCCTTTTCCTCCTGTGCCTTTTCCTGCTGTGCCTTCTACTCCTGTGCCTTTTACTCCTGTGCCTTTTCCTGCTGTGCCTTTTCCTGCTATGCCTTTTCCTCCTGTGCCTTTTCCTGCTGTGCCTTTTACTCCTGTGCCTTTTACTCCTGTGCCTTTTCCTGCTGTGCCTTTTCCTGCTATGCCTTTTCCTCCTGTGCCTTTTCCTGCTGTGCCTTTTACTCC